CACTGCATGAGCAAAGGGTTTAAGTACTAAATGACAGGAGTTCTGGTTTTGTCATTTCTGCTAATAATTCTGTGCACTATTCAACTTGCTGTTGCTTCATGTTCTCATTTCAGCAAATATTGTTAACCGTGTTTCACAAATGAGTTTACAGAAGGTCAGGGTTGAGCTTTGTACAGAAGGGCCTTACAGCACACACCCTGCCTAGACAGAGGAAGGGTATGTTACTTGAACCTCATAGTCTAACTGGCAGCTAATAAGTTTTAAAAGGTAGTAAACGGCATTTTTCAAACCGTGGTTGATGTCACTTAGCTTTTGTTGTTAAGCGGCCGTTTTACCTTGAGCCAATTTCAGTCACTGACCCTAACTCTGAGTGGGATGTATGTTACCAACCTGACTTTCTGTGATGTGGAGCAAGGTGATTTCAGATAAAGAAGACGAGCTCTTCTGATTCTGTTTATATGGCTTCTGCCCTTTGTCCAAGCTCCAGGTTGATTTTTTCCCCCTGAAACTCTGAACAGAATGTAGTAAGGTCAGTCTAGGTTTAAAAAACAAAAAAAAAAATCCATAGGTATGTCAATTACCTAAAGGCTAGATTCTATAAGTATAAAAATTCCAAAAAATTCCAAGCTCCGGCTAGTGTCCCACAAACAGAAGATAATGAATATTTATTTCTTGTAAGAGGTGTCACTAAATGCACAAAATACGGAACTCTAAACATTATTAATGAAAAATCAGAATATCGGATTTTAGGGGTGTCTGTACATAAGAACTTTTCTGATAGAAGTGAAAAAAAAATTATTATTTGTCATTTTTGAAAAGGACAAGCTTCTCGGAGTCTTCCATGCCAGTACTGACACTTGGCCTGGGACTGTGTGTATTTTACATAGACTGTGTGAATTTCAGAAGCTGTTGCGGATGAAAGTCTCCCACACGCGTGTAAACTTTTTTTACTCCATTGAAAACAGCCAAATCTTCATCCGCACCATTATGTCCACAAGATACAGCAACTGAGAATAGGTTTTCTCTGCTGTGTAGGGTTCTCCTCTACTTCATCCTTCTTGAAAAATTACTTATTAAAACCCTTATTTGCAAATCCCTCTCGTTATTTATTACTACTTACATATATGTGTATGTTCTCCACTGTGTCATGTTTATGTGAACTGGATTACAGACGCTTAACATCTGAATCCTTACTATGTTCTTTTTTCTCTGAAGCTCTGTGTGTAAGCATATTGTAAAGTATTGAATCATGAATTCGTCTCAAATGTCAATTTGGGAAAGCCTGTGCTACAGGCCACAGGCTAGTAGTGGGTTGGGGTTCTTTCCTCAGTTATTTTGCTAGTTTGCATTAAGTGTATGTAATTCTACTCGTACTTAGCCGGGGGAGGACGGAAGTATAAATGTTGTCTGTTGAGAGCTTGGAAATGTTTCAGAATTCAGGTGTCTTCATCACTAATAGGAAGGTGGAGGAATTTCTGCACCTTATGATTTCACTATCCATAGCCAGAAACTTGAGGATAAGTGTTGTTATACTGGAGGAGTACTATAAGGCCAATACTGGCTTTAATTCAGGTTTAAATACAGATTTTAATTAATTTATGTAATTTTAGATGTTTATGAGCTGATTCTGTTTCTTCCACATCATTTACCATCTTGAAATACCTCTGTACCCCTAATAGTACACCCTGGAGCTTGAGGACTTCTGGTCTATTTCACTTATGACAAATTTGTAGAGTTGCAGGTTATAGAAAGAGAAGAATCATTTTTTATACAGAGAAAAATATATAAAGAAAAAACAAGATGAGAATGTGAAGGAATAATTGTTTCCCTGTCTGTTAGTTCCAGTGTTCAACATTAAAATTAGAGAACCAAACCGGAAAACACAGGCAGCTGAAAAAGAAAGATGCACATGCTGCTTTCGTACTATCTGAAAATTGAGGATATAGCATAAACTCTTACAGTAGGACACGATGTCCTACTTCTGTCTGGTGCTCCTGCATTCAATTAGAGCTTTGTCATTGTTCATTTCAGTGGTCCCAGATCTTGAGAGTTAGAGCAGACATTGGCAAAATACAGCTTATTAGTTGCTTATGGATCCTGCAAGTCATCCTCGCGTTCTGGCGGTTTTGCAACTCCATTTAATTTTCTCTTTGAAGTTATCAGTGACATTAGAAATGGAGGTTGGCAGATACTCCACGTGGGTGGCTTCTACTGCGCTTGTTTCGTTCAGTGACTGCTTATAATTCTGTTTATCTAAGGCCTCTGTGCTGCTCTCGTCCATTACAGTATCTCACAGCATCTTATTTTCCGTCTTTCCTTTTTGTATGGCTTACTAATTTTCCATTCCTTTTATCAGGCTATGCAGATTGTTAGTCTGTTGCCACAAATATTGTGTCCACTGTTATTCTGGCAGGAGAGACCTGTGTTGGCATGAATGATCTCCCTGAAGATGTTGTCAGCTGAATCCTTAGGAAGGGACTACTGATGTTAAATATTATGACACTTCCCTATTCTTTGCCAACGTAGGGTGCTTCTACTTTGTTACCAGCTTAAGGAGTGGAAGGACAAAATGAAAAGAGGATTTAATAGAAATGTGTTCTGTTCAAGTATAAACATGTTAATATATTGAGTATATTAGAAAAGCCTCATAAAAGTAATCAAATGGAAAACTTGTATTTAGACGTATAATGTGAAATATGGAAATATCTTTCAGTACAGAAAAGTATATTGACCTTTTCTGCTTTGAGAAATTTGGAGACTGTAAATGTGAAAAAGTGAACAGTTGTTTTAAGAGGAGGGGACACCTTTTCTCAAAGGTGGGGCTATAATAAATGTACTTCTTAAAGTAAATTTAAGATTTAAGGTAAATATACTTTAATATACTTTCAAGAAATGAGAGACATTCTCAGAATAAATATCTACACTGAGAAAATTACCCCAGAACCAAGAGACGGCACTTGCTCAAAGAACCTGGAGCTGGAGGCTGATACCCTGCTGTTGGGAACGTGTTCCGACTGAGGTCTCTAGCGGACTAGATCCTCCCTGTTGGCATATTTTTTGTTGACAGATTTTCCTGTCTGCTTATGGGCATTGACATCCTGGTCTCCATCTTCTTCCTTCCTACTTGTGAACATTTGCTGGCCTGTCCAGCATTCCACACTGCTGGTGGAGTTTGTTTTGCAACAAATTCCAATATAAAAAAATAGGAAAACAACAAAATGGAAAGACTTTCTGTTCAATGCCAGAACTTATCTCAGAATCTCATCTTTCTTTCCCTTAGTTTCTGGAAATAATCCTATTCCATTTTAATAATAACTTATTCCCTTCCTTGGGTCTAATAAATGCATAGCCTAGTCATCAAGGAGCTGGGATATTCTGTTACACAGATGATCTCCCTCTAACAACCAGTTGTGGTTTTTCCCCCTCTCCTGCTTACATCGTGAATAACTCCAGTATCAGTTCCTCAGAGCTTCCCAGAACAATGGTTGTGGGCGTGAGGACTCAGACAACACTGCATCACTTTATTTTTGCGAGATGACCTTGGAAATCTTTTAGACAATCTGTTTTGTATGCAGTTTTCATTTTTGTGTGTGCAGTTGTATGGTGCGTTAATTTCTAAGGCCTGAGTTTCTGCTTTGCTGCTTGTATTGCTGTTCCTTTCTTGGTTTTAGCAGTGACTGTACTTTCACTAAATTAAGCCTTTTTCTTCAGACTTTCTCACTTGTCGCTCCTCCCCAGGAGGATTAGAAGTAGACATAGAAGGTCATGAGACCTAAATTGCCCGTTTTAGTTCCAGTGGTTATCTTGCACCATTATCTTAGTGTGCCCATCAACGGGCATTGGTCCTGTAAATCTATAGAAATACTCACAACTTCTCATGCTCGTCTCAAAAATAATACAAGTAGCCTTTAAACTGATTGACCTCAAAGGAGAGGGCTGGGACTCAGTAATTTGGAAATTATTGTGAAAGAAGCAGGGGGCAAGTTGAAATGACAAAGTAATTTTGTGCCATCTGAAATTGACTGTTAAGGACTTGCACTCTCTGCTTAATTCAGCTGTTGTAAAATTTCTGCCTACTGTATCGGAATCAGTGGAAACCTTACTTTAAGGAAAGAGACTTCTAGCTGTAACTGTTTACTTTAAAAAAGGCTTATTGGTAGACTGATGCTAGGGAGGGATTTCTATGCCTGAATGCGGGAGTTCAGTGGAGCAGATCATCTGGAGCGATTAAACTTTTTAGGATTTTCTGGCACACCAGGGCAGGGGAAAGGTTGGCAGACAGATGTATATTTAGCCTGCCAGTAAAAAGTGCTGCAAGGTAGCATTGTTATAGAACTTACTCTTAAACAAATTACTTAGACTGTAGTGTGTATTGCACAAGACACAATATATCCAAGACAAATCTTTGTTGTTTTACAGTCTTACAGTAAGGTGCACTTCTAAAAACTCAGAAAAGCCCAGAAATTGGATTCTTATAGAAAAGAATCGCTTAATATTCTTAAAAAAAAAAAAAAAAAAAAGGGGGCGGGGGGGCAGGACATATATTTAAGACATTTGTATGCAAATTCAATAATAAGTGCACCTGAATAGTGAACTCTTGACTGCCTTGCTCTAAGAGGCAACAAGCATTGGAGGGGAGAAGAAAAAACAACTAAAACCTAAAAAAACTCCACAACATAAAGAAAAGTGAAAGTACACACAGAGCTTAAGTTCTAGAATAAGTTTGGGGTTTGGTTTTTGGGTTGGGTTTTTTTTTTACTGTTTCTGTTTGCGGTGATTTAAACCCTGGAAGATTTAAGGTCTCCTTTGCGACTGTTTTCACTTGTTGCTTATTCTGCTGGTGCTACTGAATTGGCGAGGAATAAACCCGCTACACAGTAATATCTTGTTTCAATGGGGATTTTCACAGCTCTCTCAAAAACCTAAGTCGTCTAATAAGTTTTGAGTTAGTTTTTTTTAAACTGTTTTTTAATTGTATTTCTTTTTAAAAATATTTCAGGCATATGGCTCTGGTTGTGACATTGTAATTCTGGCAAATGACTTTGAATGTGTGCAAATTATTCCCGGTGCTAAACATGGAAACATCCAGGTCAGTTGTGTGGAGTGCTCGCAACGACAAGGCAGGGTAAGGATTTTAATAAATTTGTATAGAATTTAATTATTTCATTTAGAGTATTCCAATTTTTTCAAACAGCAACATAATACATTAATGGTATTAATGAGTTAATTTTATGACAAAGATTAGTTTTTACTGATCTGTAACTTTCTGAGTACCACCTCTTGTGTTACTCAGAGAATTGTTTCAGTTTAATAGTAATTTATGTTTTGGAGGGGGAGGGGGAAGGGGAAGCAGGAGGCATCTTGTAACAATGGTTTTCATTCCTTTCCAGGACCTGCAATAACAGGTCTCACAAAATGTGGGAATATGTATTAGTTACAGTATAGTATCAGAACTGGAATGGTACAAAAATTGTTGTTGTCTCCATTATTGTATACTTTCATCTAGCTAAAGAAGACATGGATAAATCATTCATGTATACATATACATCTATGTGCGTGTGTGTCCTGCAAAGTAATTAATTAGAAATACTTTATTTTTCAGAAAAGCTTAGGCATGTTTAATGTGTTTAGAAGTGCTACAGTATGAACTGTCATAACTGCATGGCCCCTTGACTGGCTCTGTGGTTTTGTTTTTAATCCATAAACAATGCTAAAGAGACAGTTTAGATTGCTGAGAAAAAGCTAGTTTCTGTGAGTTATGGTAGTGCACTGAGCAAATTTTGTGTGTCAGTTGTCACTGCCTACTAATATCAGCTAGTTAAAACTTGGCTGCAGTATTGAGAAAGCCCTCGTTAGGATTCGGGCAGGTTTAGCTGGCACGGCCCCTGCGCTGCAGCAGTGCAGTCCCAGTGGGACTGGAAGAGGGATTCCAGCTGCACCGGTGGCCCTGCAAGATCACCATGAACCCCGGGTGGTTCTGCATTCAGGACTCTGAGCTCGCGGTCTGTTCTTTTCTTTGGGAGTGTGTTGTTGCAACCTTCCCCCCTGGCTCCTCTCCCCCCGAAGAGGAAATAAGATTTCATAATAAATGTCGTGAAACTCTTACATCATTTCTATATTGAGGAAACCAGATTCTGAATGGGAAGAACTTAAATGTTTTTTCTTTTAAAAATCTTTTCGGGGAAAAAAAGGAATTTTGAAGATAGTCAAAAGTACTCATAAGCGTATGAGTATTAGGAACATGACCAGATAAATTCCTAATAAAGACCATTTTGCGTATGGAGGTTTCTGTGAAGTAAGTTTCTGTGAAAGAAATGGAGGGGTTGAGTGATATAAGTACTTCAGTTTTTCTGTTTACCATTTTTCTCCCCTCAAAATGTATGTAACTGTTCAAAATAGAATTACATTTCCTCCTGTTTCTTGTAATTATTATTTAGTGGTACAAAATGGAATCTGGGAACACATTGAGACCCAGATGCTAATAATTTATTTATTAGTTAGCTGTGAAGTAGAGAGAATGTGAGCAGAAGTAGTGAAGGCATCAGCTTTCCCTTATGCATTAACAGTAGTTACCCTAGAAGAATATATTAGATCTGATTGACAGTGTTTATCCCACTGAACAAGATGTCTTCCCTACTTAGAGTTAAAATCTTAAAGATGGGCTTGTGCAGAAGTATGTATTTCTCAACTTCGTTAAGAAAGTATACCTATAACACAATTAATGACTTTGTATTCATTTCACTTTTCTTGAACAACAGCACATAAAAGAGGTACTGGAAATTCTTTAGCTGTTTTGGAATACTAGGGAGCAGTTACACTTATCTCCTAACCTTACATTTTGAGTCTTCAATTATTTTTTTTTCAGATTGCAGCATCATATGGAAACGCTGTTTGCATTTTTGAACCGCTTGGTATAAATTCTCATAAAAGAAATTGTGTAAGTATGTATTTCATCATTGTAATTCGGTTTAGGTTCTTAGAAGAGGCAGAAGTCTGTCTGCCGGTTATCATTATTATATTACATTGACACACAAAAGACTAATGGATAAATATTTTCCACCATCCATAACAAAATCAGATGGGTAGAATCTTCCGCTGCATGAATCGAACTGGGGACTGCACTCCTCCTAAGTTCACAACAACATCTTGTTCTTGAATCTCATACTAGAATGACATGGTGACAAGTTGGTGTTTCTTTAACTTGAAGAGGTTGTCAGGTCTGTGGTACAGAAATATGACTTAGGCTTGTGTACGTGTACCCAGGCTTGTTTTAACAGCAAGCCGTGGCCGAGCACTCAAGCATTAAGTATGTTCTCAAGCAGGTTTCACAATCTTTGTTGCATCTATACTGCCATCCCTTACTTTGTTATAAATGTATGACCTAACTAGTTTAGAGTAACCTACAGATATATTTGTATGTGTGACAGGTCCAGATCTGGTTCGCAGGGCACTCTGTGATGCATTTAATTTTTATAAAACAATTAAAAGACATTATTAAAACTAGATTCAGCAATCCACCACTGGGTTCTGAATGTTTTTGCAACAGGCTTGATAGCAATTTCATAGAGAAAGAAAGAAATACTGATACCTTTGTATTTTGCTGTTGATGTGAGAATTAATCTTTTAACTGTTTTTAAACTACAGCAACTAAAGTGTCAGTGGCTTAAAACTGGGCAATTCTTCCTCAGTTCTATGACTTACAACCTGGCGTGGGATCCTCAAGGTAATGTGATGTTTGTGAAGTATTTGTTCAACATTTGTGGTCAGGAGAACTTGAACACAAATTATTTTTATGGTAGTAAAGTGAGAGCGTGAATATGGAAATTTTAGATTATCTGTTCTCAGGCAGTGTTGCATAGAATGTGAGGCTACAGTTAGCATTTGTGAAGATGCTGTGCCAAGTGTTTGAGTCTCTTGTGCAAGATCTTAGTTTGGGAATTAACAGTGTTAAGTTGCTGACTTAAATTACCACTAAAAATCATTTAAGTAGAATCTTATCACAATTGAAGTCAACACTGTACCCAGACACGGATATTTATAAGATGTCTAACAACGTATTTTTATTTGAGATGTGAATGGCTATTTAGCATCTGCAACATTAATTATTAAATATGAGTTATCATTTGAAGTCACCAAAAAAACCTTGATGTTCTTTCTTAAAAGGTACTATAAATTCAAAATGTTTTAATAAAAACAGCTGTATAATATAATTGAATACCCTATCATATTTAAAATGAACTTTAGAAAGTTGAGTTTTCAACCTGTTTTGAATAATTCTCAACAAAATATGATGGCAGGCTTAATCTTTCAATATACATGCATCATCTTGGTTTCACAGCTTTGATATTACTCACTTTCAGGTAACAGGCTGCTGACAGCAACTGACTTTTTGCAATTGTGGGCCCCTCCATCTAGTGACATTCTAGAAGATGATGAAGATGATGATCCTGACAATCAGATCAAAGATGATAAAGTTCTCCCAGTTCTAAATGACTGGAAATGTGTCTGGCAGTGCAAGTGAGTGAGATAACTTTTATTCTAAGACAAATTGCAATGCCACCTCATATATCAACCCTATCTTCTCTCCAAAACCATATTTTAAGATGTGCTTTTAAATCCGCTTAAAATACCATAAAATTCAAACATTGTAAGTTATTCCAAACAAAAATTCCTCACTTTTTCAAGTGACCTATCACCAGATAACCTACTCAAAGGCTTAGCCAAACTGTAGGACTGGCAATGTGTCAACATTGTCCCCGTTCTCTCACCTTTGAAAGTATTGCTGAGATAATTGGATGAGACTGAACAGGAGAGCAGTAGCAGGATGCTACACTGATAAAGACGAAAGCTGCTTCCTGAATCTTAGCAAGAGAGTCCTGAAACTCTTTCTACCCAGTTCTAGTTGAGATCCATGTTACAGAAGTGCTTCATGACCAGCCGTTTCTATATATGTGCAGACTTGGGAAGCAGCTGCCTAGAACCTGTTTTCTCTTGACTTTTTTGAAACCATTTTAGATTTTGTGCCTACAAAGCACTGCATAGGCTGCTTTCCTCTTTCAGACATCTGACCCATAAGCTGTAGTCACAGAGAAATAGCATCACAAATTATCTAAAAGATCTTCGCTTCCGTTTCTTCATACTATTTGTCTTGGCTTCACTGGGAGTAGAGGAGCAGGTGGGACAAACTTCACATCTGTGATCTCATCGGATCTAGCCTAGGCTTGCCGTACTTAAAACAACTTATTTCGTGGGCTGTTTTTCTGTAAAACCATGAAAATACTAAATATTTTGTTTCATTGTAGCAAATATTTTTTTATGCTTCTGCTATTTCTAAAGTATGCTTAAAGCAACAACTATAAAATACTAATATATTTCATTTAAATAATGAACAGTAATGCTTAATCAACTGAATACACATGGAATAATACTATAGAATAAATGTACTTTACTTACAACTTGAAACTGTGCTCTCATGTTCTTTAGGACTGCAGTATCAGTACATTTGATGGCATGGTCTCCTGATGGTGAATACTTTGCAACAGCTGGGAAGGTAAGGACAAAAAACAATAATTAAATAATTGTTTGCAATGCTTTGCATTTGTTTGACAAAAGTAAATAAGTAATATAGAATAGTGCCAGACTATAAACTCTGTTGTAGTCTGAGCTAAGTTAAATTATCATCTCGTGTAATGCTGTATTTTCATGTAATTCCATGAATTTCAGCAGCGAGAAGTTGGATTTAGCTGTGTACTCTTACTGAATACTTGAGAATCAGCCTGGAAATACAGTGACAGCGATACAGACTCGTGTGTATATATATATGTTTTAGATAAAGTATACTTAGATGAACTTTCAGATACGCATAAACATGTTTTTCTACTTCTGTTAGAAATAATGAGGATAAATTTTAGATCATTATACACATACACATTTAAACTGGTATAATATGCACACCTCTGGATAAATTAGAAAAGATTTTCTGTTTAGTGAATTCTGGGTTCAATTATCAGTTCTTAACTTCTATTTCAGTTTGGCATATTTTTTGTCAAATTGCTATTCAAGCTAAGTTTTCAATTAATAATTCTCTTTGATGTCACCCGCCCATTTGAGTGATTCCCTTTGGTTTTCACGTCTGGATAGGTAAGCATTTATTGCTTGCACTTAATGTTGGTTGAACAGTGAGATGAATTTTAGGAACCTTTGTTTTCTTACACTTACTAAAGAGGACAACTGAATCATGAGCTGCATAGTTTTATGACTAAAAACGTACTTACAACACCTTAATAAACATCACATTTAGAATCGTTGTGGTTAGAAAATTATCAAAAGATGTGCTTCATTCCATAGTTCTGTTTCCCATGAATATACTTTTATATAGCTAAGAATTTGACTAAGTAGATGAGGCAGATGGTTCCAGAAGTCGTCTTCTGTTAGTTGTTTCATGAGATACACAGCTTTGATCATAATTCCTAACAGGGTTGCCTGTCAGACTTCCTTCTTGCAGAATCTGTGGTCAGATACTGTACTTTCTGATGCTTGTCAGGAAATACTATCTTTTATCTACACTCTGAGGTTTGTAATTTATTCATTTATTTACTTTATTCTGTATCTCCACTCCAGCAGCAAGTCCTGAAATCCAGGCATGTGGCATCCAGCTGTGTACAACGTACTGTTGTCAGACTAGTAATGTTGTCCTTGGCTCACATCAGTATAGTCATACTCCGGTCTCACTTATCAGCATTTGTAGTATTGCTGCATCAGCGTTTCAGTTTTGTTTCAGTTAATTACGTCAGTGGTGCCCAACCGTTCAAACCAGAAGGGTAGCATAGGTTGTGCCGGTGGAGGCTGTAATATGCATCTGCTCCTCTATCGTGTGCCTATGCTCTGTAGGTACAGTACTTTCCATGAAAGTAAGGCTTCCTGTGCATGGGAACCAACAGGGACTTACAGCATGAATTGTCTCAGCGGAGATGATGACTGTTAATGAGCTTAATATTGTAGTGTGAGTGGCAGCCTATTTCTGGCTTCTGTCTTTGCAGGGAAATGGACATGGGATTTAAGCGTGCATGTGTGCTATGCAGAAAATGCATAGAGAACCAAGAGGAAAGTAGGGGGCCAACTGGACTGGAAGAAAAATTCCTTATGGGAGTGGAGTGTTGCCAGCAGAATATTTCTTCAGTCCTGTAGCTCATTCCAGGATGACCATCAATGAAATAAGTGGTCTCAGAAATGGGTTGTCTGAAAAAACTGCAAATAGTTCTGGGCCACAGATCACGTTTTCATCAAAGAACAGCAGTTTCCCTATTATTTGGGATTTTTTTTTTTGTGACATTTTTAATTAGAGGTAGCTAATCCCCTGTTTTTTTATTGCTTTACCTAGGATGACTGCCTCCTAAAGGTTTGGTATCCTATGACTGGTTGGAAGTCGTCTCTTCTGCCCCAAGAGAAAGAAGAAAAGAAAAAATATTCAGGGGTTGTCCACTTCTCATTTGTTTATTTGGCGCATCCTCGAGCAGTGACAGGATTTTCATGGCGTAACATTAGCAAGTACATGCCCAGGTTCGAAAGTTTTCTTTTTTAAAAAAACAAGCAAGCCTTTGACCAAGTGTTTTTTAACACTCTGCTTAAAGTTTGGCCACCAAGAACGTGATTAGATTTCTCTGCTTATACTTTCAAGAAATAAAACATAGCAACATCTTCCCGTAAGCTTCTGTATTACCTAGTACAATAGCGATAGTTGTGTTAACAGGTGAGATTTATACTAAAATATGGTCTAAACTTCAGTGCCTTCTCAAGTTATGCCAGGAAGCATGGATGTAAGGCTTTCTCTTCACCAAATGGTGCTATGACATTGGAAATAAAATATTTGTTTAAATGATTAGCATTTAGTAAGCTATTTTCTGTGCCTTATTGTATATACTGGTGTTTAATTAGTTGTTCAGTTTCACCATTCATTATTTAGTAAAATTTATGCATTCCTCACAGAGTCCAGCAAGTCAGATAGTTTAGGCAGTTTCATAACTGCAGTTTTGTAATAACTGCTGCATTTATCAAATAATAACCATTCCAAGTTTGCATGCACTTTTGCCAATAATCTATGGGTTTATCAGCATGCCAAAAATCACTGCTGATATAAAACCTGTAGTTAGGGGAGAGGCAGAAATTTGGATGAAACAATAACTACTAAATACTTGTATACTCCCCTAATTTCTGCCGTGTCCATACAGCTAATTTAATTACCTTGGGTAGTAACCTTGCTATGTCTGTCATTAGGGGTTTGGTCTGTAATGTGTTACTCACATCATGTCTTGATGGCATCTGTCGGCTGTGGGCAGAGACGACGTTACCAGAAGATACTCTTCTCGGTGAGCAGATCTGTGAAACGAGCACTTCCAGCATTAGCGACACCATCTCTCAATCTGGAAAGCAAAAGGACAAAATACAGCATGCGCTAGAGGTACAAGTAAATACTTATTTTGTCAATTTTTTATTTCAAGATTCTTAAAATTTAAATATTTAAAGGATGTAGAACTTCAGAATGTGTATTATCTAGTTCTTATAAGCATAACAGAATAGTCTGAATTATTTCATATCAGTTTTTGAAGTCTGTTACTAAACACTGAAGAAGTCAGAGACTTTGCAACTCTGCACCCAAGCTCTATGTTCTTCGAACTCAATCTACTTTTTCTATAGCTAACTAATAGTGATGGGAAGAGACAATGTTTAATGTGGAATAGTAAGTGATGGATTCATTCTGATTGAGTCTGAAAGTCTGTAAGTATAAAAACAGTGGAAGCAGTAAATAAACTCTTTTAATTTTTAGTTATCTGATTTGATAATTGCATTTCCAAAAGGCGGTATTATGGAACTCTAAATTTCAGTGGAAGTTGTATCAAGTCTGCTGTTTACAGTAAGAGAAGACCTGTCAATATAAAAACAAGAAAACAAAACAAAAAAAACCAACCACCCACCAGTTATTTGTAGACTATTACAATCAGACCAAGTTTTTACTTCTTACATATCATGACCACCAACAAAAAGAGAGAGTGGAACCAAGTATGGTTTGGGCTGTTGAATCAGTCGTGCTCTCCAAGTGCTCTCAGCAGTTTTCAGTTACACAAAAATAATTCATTATAAAATTATATTGCAAAGGTTACTGCTTTTAGATTGTTGTAATCTTGTTTATGAATGTTACACAAAATAGTGTGTATTTTTGTGTTGTTGTTGGAGCAGATATTAAAGGAACTTTGAGAAGACTGGTAGAAGAGCTTTGCCTTTGGCCAGAACTGATATACATAGGTGTTACTAATCTCTGTTGAAATCTATTTAAAATAATCCTTTTGAAATTAGTCTTCACTTCTTAGGTAGAAGGAAGTTTAAAAGCTTTAGGCTTTATATAAATGTGAGTTTTTACCTTGCAGTTTTTTAGTATTTCTTAATTATTTTTTTTTCAATAACTATACCAGACAATTCACCACTTGAAAAACATGAGAAAAGGACAAAGGAGATCTTCAGTTCTTGTTACCCACACAGATGTATTGCCAGATCAACAGGGTACTCATGAAGTTCAGCGTCACATTTCACATCACGCAAATGCGCTTGGTCACTTCCATATAGCAGCAAGCATCAACCCTAATACAGGTGAAATACAACCATTTATTAAACTGTAATAATATATTTGCACAAAATGAAAAAAAGAAATAAAGGGGGCTGAGAGGCACATTCTTTGCTTTGCCTAATTGAATACAGGGAATTTGTAGGAAGACTTGTTTCACAAGTCTGTTACTTGGCGTGGAGTTTTGTAAGACAAATGAGGCTGAAATTATTCTGAATACCTTCAGCACTTTTAAAAGCCAATTAAATTCTTTGCACATCAGAAAGCAAAAGAAACCTAAATTTCAAGTCTGCCTGGCATTTGATTGTTGGGTTTTGGGAGGCGGTGGTGTATGTTGAATAGAGTATTTGCATCCTACAGAATATATAGTGAATGAAAAAAAGCTGTACCAGATTTTTTGGCAGGAAACCAGCTGCTTTTTATAGAAAAATGCAGAATATTTTAAACAAGGAAAAGATTAAAGAGCAATCATGTGGCATACCTAAAATCTGTACATGAAATAACAAGACTGCAACATATGAAGCTGAGCAATTAGAACTGTTGAGTATCATTTACTGTTCACATAAGAATTAATTTTCATGTAAATTTATTGATGTTAAAATATCTTTTTTTTTATTACAATTGCAGGTAGAAACTTGATCTGCATCTTACTTTTTCTAATCTTACAGGCACAAATTACGTTCTACCTAAAATAAGTTAAATGTTTTAATTAAGAAATCTGTGTCTATATATGTGTGTGTGTATATGTGAGTGCATATATATATATATAAAAAAAGATGAGCAGTTTAATATATAGCTTTTTTATTTGTTTAAAAATGTCCACAGATATTCCTGAATAATAAAGAATTTAATTTTACATCCTATTTTGAAGTATTTATGCAACATCTAAGAAAAAGTTCTGAACAACAACTGGAACAAGATTTTGATGTTGAGATTGAAGAGGAAAAAGAAATGGAAGAAAAAGAGAGAGGTTTACATATGAAATTAGATCATGGTTAGTAATATTGAGATATGTAGCACAAGAATTATTTTGAAGCACATTAATGCAATAATTAATGCAATTATTCAGCACAAGAATTGTAAGTGCTAACATTTGAAAATTAATCTAAAATAAATAGACATTTACAGCTGAAATTTTGGCTGCTGTAATTGTAGGCATGAAAAATTCAACTATGTACTCTCTGTTGGAACACAATAGCGATATACACAGTGAAAAAGAAAGGTAGCTTTTGTCTCATTTCCATTTTGGATATAGTCCACTGAGCTATGAAATTATGACTAAGACCTGCTCTCTATTTACCTTACAATCTGATTGTCAGTAATGACGTACCAATTTATGGCAAGCTTCAAGAAGGGTTGGACATCATAGCTCCATTTTAATGCAACTGCACTGTTTCCAGTACTGGTGAGATTTACATCTTAAACCTTAGATCACCCGATGATCCCAACTGTAGCTGTTCACAAAGGAACAGAGAGACATATTTTGAAATTAATGATGGAAAACATATCCTACCAGAAATACTCTACATTGCTGTGGGAGGGTCAGTTGGCCAGTAAGAATGTGTAAAAATAAAAATCTGTCTACAAAGACCAGTAAGACCAATTAGTGGCAGTAAACTGATGATACGTTGTGTCATTTATAATGACATAATCTGGATTACCAATGCAGGAGTTAAGTGTGCGATAATTCTTACTGAACATGCAATACATACTGCTTCATCAATGATCACATACCGTATATTTCATGATTACCTTCTAAATACAAAAAAAATCCCATGTTAATTTGGAACCAGCATTCATATACAATGTGTGGGTTTATATAGTTGCCCACAATAATCTTAGGCAGGGTATTACTCTAAGTATCTGGATTTTTACGGTTACATTTATTATTACTTGTATTGCATAGTTAGAAGCAATACTCAAAGGCCAGAGCCTCATATTTTTGTACAGACAGACCAAAGAAAGATGTTTCTACCCTCAATGTGCATGAATGTTCTTACCAGATAGTTCTATTAGCAGATTAAAAAATACTGTCTTGTTTTGAATAGAAACTGATAGGGAAATCTTTGCAATGGATAAAATGGCACATTTCATTTCTGTTGCAGACTTGTCTATAGATAGAGAATCAGAGACAGGGACTGGTACAGGCTCTTCAGAACATGAAGATGGAGAAAGAGAGGGAAGCCCCAAAACATCTCTACTAGCAGGCCCACACATGCCTCTTCCAACAGTTTTGTTAGATCGGAAAATTGAGTTGCTCCTAACTGAATGGAACAGAAATCCAGATATGCTTTTTACCATCCATCCTATTGATGGTACCTTTTTGGTGTGGCATGTGAAATATTTAGATGAATACACTCCAGGCATCTTTCGACAAGTTCAGGTATTGTATATTTGAAATGGTTTTATTATTTATGATCTTAACAATCATTGTGTCCTTTCTTTTATATCTGAACATCAGTGTGAATTTAATTTTAAGTACTTCCTGTGAAACAGCTAACATTTATTCAGACTTGAGCTGGGTTGTTATATGCTAATTTTTTTCTTTTTTGTTTTTTTTTTTAGGTTTCATTTTCTTCTAGGATTCCTGTTGCATTTCCATCAGGAGATGCTAGTTCCCTTAGCAAAAATATTATGATGTATGCTTGCCCTGTCTTTGTAAAAGATAACAGTAATGCTGTACATCAGAAGACAATGGACTTTCCAGATAAGACTCTAGCAAATAAAGGACCAAGCTTTGCCCAGGACAGTGCAAATGTGAATATAATTTCTCCCATAGTAATGATGATTTCCAAACATATAGATGGCTCTCTAAATCAGTGGGCAGTTACTTTTGCTGATAAATCAGCTTTCACTACTGTGCTAACTGTATCACATAAATTTAGGTACTGCGGTCACCGTTTTCACCTCAATGATCTAGCTTGCCATTCTGTTTTACCATTACTGCTAACATCTTCTCATCATAATGCTCTATTAACTCCTGAATCAGACAGTTCCTGGGACTCTGACAGGATAAACAGAATAATGGATCCTATTAAACATGTGAAAGGTTCTTCTAGGCAGCAACTTAAAAATGCAGCAACGTGTACATTCCATGACCCAAACGCGATCTATAGTGAGCTCATTCTGTGGCGTGTAGACCCTATAGGACCTTTATCATACACTGGAGGAGTATCTGAATTGGCTCGAATTAACTCTCTTCATACCTCCGCTTTCTCTAACGTAGCCTGGCTTCCAACACTTATTCCCAGCTATTGCCTCGGTGAGTATACTTAGCATGTTTCCGTATGGGGTTAACACTGCGGGTCATAGAATGAATATGTTACAATAAATTACTATTGTATTTGGGGTATATTTATATTAACTTTTCAGCAATTTCCTTGTATTATGCAAGTTAAGCATTTTTATTTCATTTGAGGCTAAGCAACTTCAAAACATTTCATCTGGTCTGAGTGCGTCTGTAGTTACTGTGGATCAGCTGACATTCAGTAACTTCTTTGTGTGAGTAAGCAATCATCACTCTCACAAAGAACAAGACAATCCCTTTCCTCAGTGCTTTAGGCAGTTTGACTGAGCGTTCTCTGTGTCGACACGGTATTAATAATGCAGATGTTCTGATGACTTGGGCATCTGGGTTGTTGGCCACATACAGCTGCAGGAGGCAGCGAGTTGAACAGAACTAGTATTTGGACTGCTTGAACATCTGAATTATTGGGAAAGATTTTTCAGCCAAAATTTGCAGTAGCAAGATCTTTTAACATGCTGGTTAAGAACTCTGCTTAGAAGATCCCAAAACAGTACCGAAATTTGTCAGGCCATCAGTGGTTTACAAAAGCCCAGTTAGAACACAGAATATTTTTAAAGAAATAGACCACATTAACTTTACAGAACTGCAAACACTACTTTTTCAGAGGTCTGGCAGTACAACATCTGGTGTGTAATACCCTAGGACAATTCTTCAGTTTTTGTATTTAATTTTAGGGCTTTCTATTGCAGTTAGGAAAATTGTCTTTACAAATGTTACTCTATTCAGCCACTCAGATACTTATTTTTGAATTATCATAAAGATGCCGTTGTAGTAGTTGTCATCTTTGTATACAGTACTAAAAATGTCATTTATGCTGTGGATGTAACATTAAATTTTATACTAATAATGCCAGGTTATTTTATTATGCTAAGGTCAGTCTGACCTTTGCAATGATTAAATGGGTGTCAAAGATGTACAACCTCAAAAATCCTAAATATGCTTAATAAATGCATAACCTTTCTTTGATTTAAAGTACAATAAATCCATTTTCTCTGCTAACATAGTAACATTCTGTGCTGTCTGAATCCCAGTCTTCTAAACACAAATAACTAGCTGCTTCCCTCTTAGAATGTAAGAGGAAAAACGTGTATCAGAACAGAAAACCTCGTGTCACACCTGTTCTACAGACTATAGAGAAGCAATAAAGACACTCAGTTAGAGTTTTTCATATATTATTCACTACTGCAGATATATTTCTCCCTCCGCTTTTATGTCTGCACTTTTAACTGGAGGGTAGAAGGGAATATTCATAGAGGTTAATTTTATCCAAAGAGCCTAGGGACAGTAAACAAGGAAAAAAACTATAGCTAATACAGCTTTTCTGAACAGTTTACCTTGGACTCGACTCTAAGTCATCTCTGACAACCTAGGGAAGCTAGTTAGCCCTTCCGAGCACCTCCTTAGGGGTGACAGTGAAGAGAACACAACCATTTTAAGGAATGGCAGCGTTCCCTTAGGTGCACTTCATACTGGTTTTTGCATGCGTGAACAACGTTTGTAAACGTAAATGAATTTTGCTTAGATTATTCAACTTTTCTGAGGAGTTTGTTACATAAATGAGCAGAAAGGGAGTTATTTCAAAATTCAAATAATAGTGGTTTAACGCACACATTTGCTTAGGGTTTTTGCTTCAGTACTTTATGAAAATTGTGTTGGAAACATATTCAGATATTGTGAAGTGGATTGTAATAGCCTACCTGATGCCATTTGACTGCCACTTTTTTCTTTCATTATGACATTTTTGTGTTTTCTATTAGGTACATATTGCAACTCCGCTAGTGCTTGCTTTGTTGCATCTGATGGCAAAAACCTGAGACTCTATCAAGCTGTTGTAGATGCACGAAAACTTCTAGATGAATTATCTGACCCTGAATCATCTGTAAGTTTTACGTAGCAATGGTTTGAAAGTATTAAAATAAAACTAAGGTAACTTTTTGTCCCCCTCCAGTGGTTTGTCTTCACTTAGTTCTGTATAATTTTTGTGCCATTCTGCGTATAGGTTATGCATTATACCTTGCATAATTACATGTTTTGCAGCTGTCTGTATATAACATTAGCAGACAGAAATGCAGCTATTACTACTAAAAGCGGCTGGACTGAAACAAAATTTCCCTGACAAGTTTCCCTAACCTGTAGCAGGTGGGGAAAGGAAAAATAGGATTTCTTTTCTTTGTCTTCTCAAAAGAGGGGAGTCAAGAGCAAGACTTTAAGATAGAAGAGCAAGACTTAGGTGTATCCACCTAGGTTAAATCTATATATGAGGAAGGGCAGAGATGGTGGGATAGGAGGGAATTGGCAGGTTATTGCTAAGGATAATATTAACTCTTTTTTTCCTGTAATAAGCAATTTTTTCATCCTTTTATATCTTTCATTTCTGTGACTTAAAGCAAAGTAAAACCTGACCTTGCACTGCTGTTGTATAAAGCAGCACATCCTTCCTCTTTTTCTATTCACCTGTTATTTTATAAGCTATCCTGCAACATAGAGCCTGTCAGTGATCAGATCAGTCTGAGGAATCTGTTCTAGGAGCAATGATTGTTAACATTCCAGAAAAAATCAATTGGGCCTTCAGTTTACATATAAGCTGTACTGATTTTTTTTTTTACATGTTGTGACAAAACCTGAAGCTTTAAACAAAAGTGAAGCAGTATACTTGAGTTTCTCATGGCACAGATACTAAGTTATGTTATGAAAGGATAAATCTTTAAATAAACAGCATTTAGTTTCCATAAAAACCGGTGCGCTATCCCCATGAATAGCTGCAGACTCACAACAGTGCAAATGTCTTGATAAACGCATTATTCATAAGTGCCAAAGTGACAACAGGGAGAAGTCTGTTACAGTTTATGCCAACAAGGAAAAATTAAAGCATCAGTTTATTGTAAATGACTGCAATTTCCTTCTGTCTGAAGGAAAAATATACTAACTCTTCTCATTTTGCTCTGTTTCAGAAACTTATTGGGGAAGTGTTTAACATTGTGAGCCAACAATCTACTGCTCGACCAGGATGCATTATTGAACTCGATGCAATAACTAACAAAGTAAATAAATGGTTAACTCTTTGAGGGTATCACTTAAAGGTTTTTAATAGCTTTGTCTGTTAATTAACCTAATCTGTTGAAAAGAGGGAAAAGAGATCACATTTCTCTATGGTGATAATGACTACCTTAAATTTTTGTGAATGTTGAGATACCTTGAATGTTTTAGTCAGACAACTTTTAGTTGCTAGGAGCTCAAAGCCTGTTGTTACAGTGTGATAATATTTTCTAAGCATAAATCTTGATGAAAACAAAACTTAACTACAGACTGGTTTACAAACCATCATAATTTAAAGGGGAAAAAAAAAAACAATCCCCCCAAACCCAAACAAACAAAAAGATGAACAACATTAAAAAAACCCCTCAAACCTAAAAACTAGACCTAACTATTCCAAAATGTAGGAATCATAGCCATGTATGACTTCAATTCTTTTGTCTTGTAAGACAAATTTTTATCTTTTAACTAATACAGACGTACATTTCAAACAATGAGGAGGTAGTATTATTACACCTTGTTCTTACAGTTATTTTGATCATACATGTTCCAGTGCTGTTTTCTGTTAGGAAGCAGCCTGTGAAAACTGTGTGTTTTACTATTTCTTAATTAGACATCTGGATGGTTTTGACTTATATAAAGAAGTATTTCTTTATTTGTCAATAAATTTCCATGTTTTTTAAGTATTAATTACATAGGATCTTCAATTTTAAGTTCAGATTTACAAAATATTTTTCTAGAACTTTTATAGATGAGTACAGGGAATAGTCTCTTTCCATGTTTATCTGGAAAAAGAGGGTGTTCTGCAGCATGAAAACTTAGCCATCACTGTCTTTGGGGGACATATTTTTCCTTGCCTGCAGGAAAGGATTTCACTGCCAGCAGCCTCCTTTGTAGAGAGGTGGAGGCACTGCAAAGAAATCTATTGCTGTCAGGAAGAACAGCTGTTGAGATATCAGAGAGAAGGAAAATCTGCAAATCGTTCCCTTTTTTTAGATTTCCCAAGTAATTCACTGCAGACGTGTCTTCCCACTGAAGAGGGATGAAAGTCCAAGAGGTTTTGCTAGTGTCATTTATTCAACACCTAAAGAAATAAAAACCAATCAGATACTAATTCAACAATTAGATACTAGTTAACAATTGCGGCAAAAATGTTATTACAGAATTTGTCTAGCATGGTAGATCTCAGTGACATTATTTGAATATGCAAACAATCGGTTCTAGAATATGCTGTTCTTAATATAAGAGGAAAATGTTTAGTTTTTCTGATGCATTAAAATAATTTTCAACATTATAAAAGAAAGTGATCCTCATCAGTAGCTAGATTACACAAAAATAATTGCATTAGTACAAAATGTTGCTAATACTGTTCTGGAAGCCTAACTATTGCTTAATGCATTTTTCAGTGTGGCTCAAACACACAATTGCTTCATGTCTTTCAAGAAGACTTCATTTTGGGATACAAACCACATAAGGAAGATGTGGAAGGGAAGGAAACGGAGATATTTTTCCAGCCGTCACAAGGTATAGCATAAAAATAACTAATACAAATGAAGTAGGTACCAAAAACGTTCTTAAAGAATATTGAAATCTAGCCGGCATATGCTAGTTTCCTTTTTAATGAGAATCTGCAGAATTCAGTAAAATGGCTGTTTCATGTTGCTCATATGAATTGTTGTTTACATGGCAATAGTATTAAACAAAGGCATTGTAATTTGCTTAGAGTGAAACGTCTTAACTTATATGACAAATTCTACTTTTCAAAATGGTGTGTGTTATATATATAAAAATGTGTACAAAACAGAAGTGTATTTTCTGCATCAATATGTAGTTCCAGGTGATAAGGTGAATATATCTGACTTCCACGTTAGTACAATAGAAAGTAACTGGGGAATTAGGCAGCAGACTTACAACTTTAAAAGGGAAAGGAAGAAAGCAGGCAGGTGGAAGAGTCTTTACAATCTAGCAAAATAGTTCAGACTGACTGGGAAGTCAAACACATCTAATAAATTAGATTTGCTACTAATACTCAAGGCTGTGTGTAAGTCAGTCTATCTCTTTATTTTTGTAATTCTTCTGTAGCCATGAGCAAACAAAATGTTGATTAAAAAAATGTTATTAATGGTACTGCTTGAATATTTTGTTTTATAATCAAGCAATTTCTTTCAAAGAGGAAAACAGGTTTTTTAGTATCAACAATTTTTAGAGAATCTTCTGTTACTGAAAATTAGTTATGTTGAACATAAACTTCATGATCGTGATAATATGTTTAAATTACAGGGTATCGTCCACCACCTTTCTCAGAAAAGTTCTACCTAGTAGTAATTGAAAAAGATAGTAATGGCTGCTCTGTTCTTCAGATGTGGGATCTTCATCTCAAATCTGTGCAAGCTTGTTTAGGTGAGTGAGTGACACTAATTTTCTTAGAGACAGATAATTTCTTTCATATTATTTAAAATAAAACTTAAAGCTTGGTGGTTTATTTTAAAACAAATTGTGTCACCTTTGTCAAGCAGAAGCCTCAAAGTCAGGAATCTTCGGAACAATTTATCAATGCAATAGAAGCAGTAAGATTCCTTACAAGCATTGGTTGCATTCTATACCAATAGCACTATAAAAATTTGTTGATAGCATGAGTAATGTACTTAAGCGCTGGATTCCTTATTTTAAACTATCAGTATTTCAGAATGTTATGGGTCTCTTAAAACGAATAGTCACAGCATGCAATAAAACTAATGCAGCCTGCACACATCATATATTTTCTGTGTAACTTAAGTACTGCTAAAAAATATAAATCTGATGACAGGATATTCATACCTTGTCCTTACTTATAAACAATTTTAACACTGTTGGCAATTTTTTTTTTTATATAGCAAAACCAACTGAAGCTACTTCATCAGAGAATAAGCTTAGTGTACCTGAGCAGAAGACTGTGGATTCTTCTCCAGATATATCACCTGGTATAAGTCCCATTCCACGATCTTCATCAATTGCTAATCTTCAGACTGCTAGTAAACTCATTCTGAGCTCCAGACTTGTGTATAGCCAACCTCTGGATCTTCCTGTTGGTGTAGAAGTAATAAGAGCAACGCCTTCAGCAGGTAAATTTAACATTTTTTTCTATCCAGTTGGTCCACTAATTTACCTCCTAGTTTATAGGATTGTATCTCCTCAGCTTATCACATTCTGATTTACTGATACGGGGAACATGGGACTAAAAAGGCTCTCTCAAATCATTGTGGCCATGTCATGTTACCCTTTCGTAAATGTATTTGAGTCCCCACAGGAAAGCTGTTCCTGGAACTTACTGCTCTAATAGTTGGAAACTTAACTTCTAGTCTTAATTTATTAATGAATGATTTATACCCGCTTGTTCATCTACCAGCACTAATGTGTTGGGTATATAGTGCTTTTTTTACCTGATGCACTTACACCTTCTTCTGTCTGTCTGTGTCTCTCCCCCTCCCCCCCCCCCCCGCTTCCCTCTTAGGTTTCATTTTGGTAGGCTGTATGATCCTAATCTTAACTTCCTTAATCTCATCTGATTAAGGCTTTGTATTCCTCTCATTATTCTAACAATCCTTCTCTGAATTAGTTCAGTTCCAGCTTATCTTCTTTGAATAGTGACCAGAAATGCAGACGATTAGTAATGTTCAAGCCGCAAGACTGTTACCAATCTTAATACATTTGCCCTTACCCAACTCCAAATTAGAAAAATAATACCAGGTTGTAAAGCGCTCTATCAGTAGTTAGACAGTGTTATGTCTGCCTTATTCATATAGGCATTCTACTTTATATTACTAAAAGTAAATATGTTTCTTCTGACTTCAGGTCACCTGAGTTCTTCATCAATATACCCAGTCTGCCTCGCACCTTATTTGATAGTAACATCATGTTCAGACAACAGAGTGCGGTTCTGGAGATGTACTGTAGAGACAAACCTAAACAGCAAACACGAAGAAAGGGAAACATATCACTGGAGAAAATGGCCTTTAATGAACGATGAAGGAGAAGACAACAGCAGTACAGTGAGCATAGTAGGAAGGCCAGTTGCCGTTAGCTGTTCTTACACAGGACGTCTTGCAGTAGCATACAAACAACCCATACAGCATAACGGTTTTGTTTCCAAAGAATTTTCCATGCATGTTTGTATACTTGAATGTGAGTCTACAGGAGGATCAGAATGGGTTTTGGAACAGACAATTCATCTGGATGATTTAGTTAAGGTTGGAAGTGTACTTGATTCAAGGGTCAGTGTAGACAGTAATTTATTTGTTTACAGTAAATCAGATGCTTTTCTGAATAAAGACAAATACCTGCTGCCCAGTATCAAGCATTTGGTGCATTTGGACTGGGTATCAAAAGAAGATGGTTCACATATATTAACAGTTGGAGTTGGTGCCAACATCTTCATGTACGGAAGACTTTCGGGAATTGTAACAGATCAAACTAGCAGCAAAGAGGGAGTAGCTGTCATTACTTTACCACTAGGTGGTAGCATAAAACAAGGTATAAAGTCAAAGTGGGTGTTGCTTAGGTCAATTGATTTGGTATCATCTGTAGATGGCACTCCTTCACTGCCTGTTTCTCTGTCCTGGGTGAGAGATGGTATACTGGTAGTGGGAATGGACTGTGAAATGCATGTTTATGCCCAGTGGAAACACGCTGTCAAGTTTGGTGATGGAGAAAGTGATGTTTTTACTACTGAAGACGCAACAACACAAGATCCACTCAAAACAAGCTTGATTGCGAAGAAGACCAGTGTAATTGATGGGGCAGGTATTGTGGATGATGTTTTTGGCACTCCAACTGTAATTCAGGATGGTGGCCTTTTTGAAGCTGCTCATGTTCTTTCACCTACTCTACCCCAGTATCATCCAACCCAGTTATTAGAACTTATGGATCTGGGTAAAGTTCGCCGAGCCAAAGCCATTCTATCACATTTAGTTAAATGTATTGCAGGAGAAGTTGCAATAGTTAAAGACACAGAAGCTGGAGAAGGAACTGGTCCTAAACGCCATCTTTCTCGCACCATTAGCGTAAGTGGCAGTACTGCAAAGGATACCATCACAGCTGGAAAAGATGGTACTCGAGACTACACAGAGATAGACTCAATTCCCCCACTGCCACTGTATGCACTGCTTGCTGCAGATCAAGATGCCACTTATGTTTCTGAAGAAACTTCTAAAATACCTCAGGGCTCTGAAGATCATGCTAAGAGAAAAACAGAGGATCAGTACTCAGATCTATTCCAGATTCAGCCTGTTACAACTGAAGACTTTATTGATTTCGAGCCTGAAAAGAGGGAGAGTAAATCCAAAGTTATTAACCTGTCGCAGTACGGTCCGACTTACTTTGGCCGAGAACATGCTAGTGTCCTGTCAAGCCACCTGATGCACTCAAGTCTGCCAGGCCTCACTCGACTGGAGCAGATGTTCCTTGTAGCTTTGGCAGACACTGTGGCCACAACAAGCACTGAACTAGATGAGAACAGAGATAAGAATTACTCAGGTTTGTAACAGACATGTTACTGAATTAACATTCTTGTTCTTCTCAGCAAAGGTAAACTTAGTCCTTGGGTATTTCGGGATGACAAAGCTGAAAGCTAGCATCAGTTATTCAGATTTGATACAGCAAGAAAGAAAAACACTTAAATACAAATCTCTACGTATATTTCATAGATAATAAATAACTGGTAGTTCAGGTTCTCAGCAAGTTTAGAAACATACATTCCTCACACACTGCATATGATAAGTTGTATATATGCCTCTTGTAGTCACCTGCATGTTCAAAAGTCAGTATTTTATATTTCACAGGAAGGGATACCTTAGATGAATGTGGCTTACGGTATTTGTTGGCTATGCGCTTGCACACCTGCCTTCTGACATCACTCCCACCTCTGTATCGAGTTCAGCTGCTTCACCAAGGTAATTCTTAGAGCGAAGTATTGCTTTCATTTGATCCACTTGAGCTGACAGGACCTGGTTGTGTTTGATTTAGAATATTATGATATTTCTATTATCTGCATGTTCATTTTAGATTATAACTATTCCATTAAGGCCCTTATCTTGCAAAGGCTTAGTATAGGCTTCCCTACATGCACTGTAAATACTAAAAAAAGTATAGCTCTAGAACAGAAGAAAGATTCTGCCCCATTCAGTTTGAGGCATGAATTTCCAAGCTCCCCAACCAGGGGATGTCCATAGGCAAGTTCCCCAACCAGGTAATGTACAGATTGTACATATATTTCATTGTTTCTGCTGGAAGAATGAAGATGTTGCTTTACATGAGCATGGCTTTACCTTACCTCAAAGATTATTTTCTTACCTTCATCACAGCAGGTTTTCGCCCCTTGCTCAATCTGAGTAAATGCAGTTGTGAAATACAGGAAAGTAAAGCAGTTACCACCTAAACAGCAGACAGAAAGGTTTCTGGCCCAGAATGGGTCTGCCTCTGTGATAACAGAATATTTTTCCTTCGGTCTTTCACCGTATAACTCTAGTACATATATGAATGGGGTACTGGAAAACGATGGAGGAAGCACTGAGGAGAGGACATCCCTAGTGAGCAAAAAGATATTTCAGCCGTTCCTTTAGCGGCTCTACTTCCCGTTGAGGGAAGTGGTCTCTCTCAGACCTGCCTAACTCGTGGGTTGGAGATCCCACTTTGCATCTCTGACATCTTCCATTTCTTATTAACAAGTCTTAATCTTCTGAATGTTATTATCTTACGTTATTGTCTAGGCCTATCTACTTGCCATTTTGCATGGGCTTTTCATTCTGAGGCTGAGGAGGAGTTGATCAATATGATTCCTGCTATCCAGAAGGGAGACCCACAGTGGTCTGAATTAAGAGCTATGGGTATTGGTTGGTGGGTCAGGAATATCAACACACTCCGAAGGTGCATTGAGAAGGTACTTTTTATTGCTTACAAATTATAGTTACGTGCTTTAGGTATGCCTTAACAGATACGCATGGTGACTTGTATATAGCAGATTCCTTTGCACTCCAGCCCAGCCAGGAGGCTGCATAACTAGTTTTTTTTTCTATGCCAACTGATGTTGGCAGTCCTGCCTTATAAATTCCATTATTCAATTTTAAGATATAATACAATTGATCTAGGGAAAAGCCGTTTCTGAAGCACCTAATTTCTCCTCCCCCCCCATATTTTACAGTATGTTAAAGATCATATTAAATACTCTATTTTAAGAAGAAACTTGTTTTCAGATATACGAGACAGTATATATCTGTAGATTAAACAGGGAATTATGCTTTGAGTTCAGTAGTGGGTTTTATTTAAGAAATAAATATATCTAAAAATATTAGTCAATAAAAACTATATAAAGGGTCTTTTTGCAAATTTTGTACTTTTTATAATGGAGTACTATAGAACAGAAAAGATCTGAACTGCAAGTTTTACTCTTCTGAAGAGTCACAAAATTACTATTTTATAGAAATATGCACCTATATTATGTAAAACCAAAATAACACCAAATCTCATTTGCATGCAGAGTTTTCTTATGGGAGGTCTAGTAATGGATAAAATGCAATATATTTTGGAGATAATATCTAAAACTGTTTCCCATAGCTACCAATGAGATTTAAACCCTTGCTTTAATAAGAATGTCAGCTTTCTTGTAACTTGAAGTTTGATGGATTTGAATAATTACTAGCTTTTGCTTTGAATTACAACAAATAATGCAGTCTCCGAAATGTGTGTAGAACAGAAGTACTTACTAGTTGACTAAATTGCCAAGTCATCTTGGCAATGTAAATGTAAAAATACATTTTAAAAAGTTACAGGATAGTCAAAGAATCCAGGAGCAAAACTTAATTATCCTAGTACTCCAAATCAAATGCAATTAAATCTCTGAGTCCTATACAAAAAACAAATGGTGTTCATTAAAGAAATACTTGTTTTAGCTTAAGTATATGTTAATAATGGATTGCAAGAGGAATTTCACCTAATAGTATGAGTTACTTAACACTTTTAAAGAAGAGATTTCTATTTGCACATTTGTAATGTCCCACTGTGGTTGAGAGGGGTTAATATCTGCAATAGTGCTGTTTTTCTGACTCTTAAGAACATTTACAGTGTAATGAGAGCTGTCATGTATGAATAAAACATTCTGACAGAAATTACTGTTGCTTTGTAGAAATAATAGTCACCTAGACCATCGTCCCCGACAGAGAACATATGTTATTTAGCTAAAAGCAGCCTTTATATTTTCAGTAATAACAGTAGGTTTTGTTTACTACAGGTTGCAAAAGCTTCATTCCAGAGGAACAATGATGCCTTAGATGCTGCACTTTTTTACCTTGCTATGAAGAAAAAGGCAGTGGTGTGGGGTCTATTTAGGTGAGTTCTGGTAACTAAGTTTGATTAAATCTTAATTGAACCAGGAATGCAAAGCAGAACTCATTCAAGATTAGATTTTAATTTAAAGTGAAGTTGTTCAAGTGATTGTATGCTAAGGTTATGTAATAAGTGGTTGTATACATTGCATTTCCTTATGCAGGTCCCAGCATGATGAAAAGATGACTGCCTTTTTCAGCCACAACTTCAGTGAAGATAGATGGCGCAAAGCTGCTTTAAAAAACGCTTTTGCTTTGTTGGGAAAACAACGCTTTGAACAATCAGCTGCATTTTTCTTGCTAGCAGGTTCACTGAAAGATGCTATAGAGGTATCCACTTTTGAGAAATTAAGTTTCAGTTTCTAATTTGACTTATGTAACTGCATCCTTACAAGCTGTTCTCTGCTGATGTTTTCACAAATTGTGGCAGCACAAATGGTATGACGTGACCCCCTTGTGCCCTGCAGACATACCATTTACCATTTTCACTACTGTGAAAAGCAGCTTGGAAGCTGATCTGAAGGCCAGAATAATTATTCAGATACATCAGTCCTCAGTGGAAGCACTCTTGGGAATACCAGTCATGACCCTTCTGGCAGAACTTTCTGTTTGATCAGCACAGTTAAGTTGCAGCACTCTGTTCAGCCTCCAGCTATTCTGCATGACCTATTGTTACAACATTAAGTAAAAAAAGAAGTCAGAGTTCTCTTCTGAAGCAGCCCTAGGATCTCTTTTTAGTGGAGCTGTGATGTTGCCTGCCACAAGGGAGGTGAGAGCTGTAAGCAGGATCATAACCTAAGCAGTACCTCTCAGGAGAGAATGGGAATTAGAATTAGTTATCCTGCCTATTTATATGCAGTATGTCTGCCTGTACCTGAGAACGTAAAGAATTTTCCTCGGAGATGTAATTCTGCAGATGAGACAGTGTGACGAATATCTTACCAATGATGTATTAACATTAAAGTTGGAAGTTATGTTTATTCTACTAGGTAGAATAAAAATAAACATCTTTACTTCTGCCATATTAATTTTTGACATGCTGATTCACTGCTATGCATATCATAATTCCTGAAATAGAAGAAAGTACACCTCTTTCCAAACACAGAAGAAAATGTTACTTAGATAGATCTCAGTCACCACATTTTTGACCCAAAGATGAATATATACTTCAAAGAACAGATATGATGAGAAAAAATGTATCTGTTCTGTAAACATATATTGCTCTTCATTTCACTGTTATTTTAAAGAACTATCTTTCCCTCATACAGCAACCTTTTCCTCACTTCTTATTGTAGGTGTGCCTTGAGAAAATGGAAGACATCCAGTTGGCTATGGTTATTGCTCGTTTATATGAATCAGAGTTTGAAACCTCTGTCACATACACCTCCATTCTTTATGAAAAGATTTTGGGTTGCCGTAAGGATGGAGCTGGATTCAGCTGTACTAAATTGCATTCTGATCCATTTCTGAGAAGCATTGCATACTGGATAATGAAAGATTACACTAGAGCACTGGACACGTTATTGGAACAAACACCTAAAGATGATGATGAAAACCCGGGTAAGGGAAAAACATTAGTGTGATGGGACAAACTTACTAAGACAAAGTAGAGAAAGAGAAATACTTTCTGTGTATGTATGCAGTCCCTTCTCCTGAGATGCCATTATGCTGAAATCATTAATTGGCTTATGTACTGGCCCGTTCAATTTCTACTTCTTCTTAAAAATAAAAAAAAAAATTAAAAAAATTCCAATTTCTCCCAAGGACTTGTCTCCAACCCCCCAATACCAAACTTAATTCTGCTGTCAGATAAGCTCAGGAGGACCTTCTTTGTTTGGTACTTTCCTACAGTATCTCTCTACTACTGAATGCTGACTAGATTATTCCAATGGACTTAAATTCTCATTGTTGCTTCTAGGAATTAGCAGTGTTCTATCAGGATTTCCTATCCTGTCTATTCCGAGATTAATGTTAAATGGCAGGTGGCTACATAGGTTTCTGTGTCATATTCCCTCCCTTGGGGAAATCTCTACCTGGCTGATCATCTCAGTGTTTTTTAGGCTTAGCTGAGCAGAATATAGCAGTGAGGCAAATGAGAGAATTTAGTATCTTTCTACTCATGCAGCTCATACCTTTAATCTTTCTGTGGGGAATAAGCAATTCTTTCATTTTGTTGTGGCAACTAGACCCAAAACTGTCTTTGTTTTTGTGTCTTGAGAAATCTCTGTAATGCAGGAAATACTGCAAAACAGAATAATACCATTTTAAAGCCATTTTCAATAGATGTCATATCTGTTTAATTCCTTAGTTATCGTCAAGTCGTGCAATCCTGTGGTGTTCAGTTTTTACAATTATCTTCGGACCCACCCTTTGCTCATCCGAAGATACTTCAGCTCACCAGAAGGAACTTTGGCCACCTTAGGTCTAAAAACTGAGAAAAGCTTTGTTGATAAAATTAATCTTATAGAAAGAAAATTATTCTTCACTACTGCAAATGCTCATTTTAAAGTAGGCTGCCCTGTACTAGCTCTTGAAGTCCTTTCCAAAATTCCAAAAGTAAGAAAAAAGTCTACTGTAGCTACAGAGAAAGATTCATCTAGTCCTCCAATACAGGCTGGTGTTTCAGATTCCAAAGCCCTAAGGGATGGTGCTGGAAGTGGTGATATAGACTGGTCAAAGCCAATTTCAACTTCCTTGGAAAATACTGTTGCATCTTCAGCACAATTTGACTGGAGTCAACCAGCAGTAAAATTTGATGATGAGCCCCTTACTCTTGATTGGGGCGAGGACAAAAATGGGTCAGACGAAGAGGACAAGGATGTTGGTATAATGATGAAAAACTCAAAATCTGATTCTAAGAATGGAGATGATGATGAGGGAGTCTTAGACGCCAACATCCCACAACTACCACATGGGGAGATTTCTGATGCAGGAGACACTGAGGTTGATGTTATTGCTGAACAACTGAAGTTCAGAGCCTGTCTGAAGATCCTTATGACTGAACTGAGAACTTTGGCTACGGGTTATGAAGTAGACGGAGGAAAGCTCAGATTTCAGCTGTACAACTGGCTTGAAAAAGAGATTGCCGCTATGCATGAAATATGCAACCATGACGCAGGGGGCAAAGACTATTGTAAAACATATACCAAAGTAAATGGGGATCTACTTGATCACGACGATATTATGGATAAGCCAGACATCGGTTCATATGAACGGCACCAGATAGAAAGACGTAGGTTACAAGCAAAACGAGAACATGCTGAAAGACGAAAGTGGTGGCTGCAGAAGAACCAAGCTCTTCTAAGAGTTTTTCTAAGTTATTGTAGTCTTCATGGGGCACAAGGTGGTGGTTTAGCATCTGTAAGAATGGAGCTGAAGTTCTTGCTGCAAGAGTCACAGCAGGTAAATTCAACTAATTTCTATTCACAAGCATGAACAGTTCTGGACTACCAGTTTTGTCAAATGCTTAAGTTTGTACCTAGATAGATGCTGCTTCTGTTCTGCAAGTCTAATGGTCAAGATCATTTTAATATTCTTGGAGAAAGAACTTGGTATTTAAGTGTGCTGCTTTTGCACATCCTGATTAGTTGGATCTTAAGAATCTGTTATATAACATTGAGGATTAGGCTACCTATAATTATGGAATATAAATGTTGCTGTTTATATTATAGCTGCAGCATTATATGTGTGTTCCAATGAAATTATAATTTTGATCACAATATTCGGGGTACCTATATAAAATTAAATTCACAGTTGCTGAAATACGACAAAATCTCATTCCCTAGACCTCTACACATCATGCAAGGGAGCTACAAAGAATGGGATCTTAGCTGCAAGGCTCAACAAATAATACCAAGTCAGACAGGGTAGCGTTCCCTTTTACTATATTATGGCATACAAAAAGATATTTTCCAGCAAATGTTAATGACTAACCTGAGCTACAGCAGATAATCTGATACTGGGCAAGTCATTTAACTTGCTCGAGTCCTAGATTTCTCACATTTCAAATGGGAGCAGTAGACAACTGTTTTGGTGGTACTAGGCTTAGCACATACTTTTAAGAATAAAAAAAAAAATTCTGTTCGTTTCCACTTGAGAAACTCCGATTAGTGCAAATTTGACTTTTGTTATTAAACTCAGACCAGTGAGGATTATGTCAACTTATATTACTGCAAGTGCATTTTTAGTTGGTGTTTCTTAATAGACAATCCCAACGCTTCCTAATGAACTACATAAAAATACTCTTCCTGCACTAAATCAAAAAGTGTTCCTGCAAACTTGGCTATCAGGTCTGATCCATGTTATTGTAGTAACTAAGAACTTACTTTTGACATCAGTCACAGTAAAATGTTGTCTGTACTGAGTGGACAGCAGTGGAAGAAGATAAATAACCCTGGAAGAACACTTAAGATGTAAAGTTATTATTTTTTTAAAACTTTTTTTCTCAAAGCAATAATTTTAAATACAATCTTTTCTTTTAAACAGGAAACTACTGTAAAACAACTTCAGTCTCCACTTCCATTACCCACAACACTACCGTTGCTTTCTGCAAGCATAGCATCCACAAAAACTGTGATAGCTAATCCTGTGCTGTATTTAAACAACCACATCCATGATATTCTTTACACTATTGTGCAGATGAAATCACCGCCACATCCTAATTTTGAAGATGTCAAGGTAATTAAAAGCTTTCAGGAAATGCTACATGATTTTTTCTAAAATGGGGAGCATGCAAAAAATAAAATGCAGTGTTTGAGTTAACTTTTCAACACTTACCCTTTCCCAATACTGACCTTCTCCCTTAAGTCTGGCGAACTGAAAATGCTAGTTAACCACTTGCTTTCTGACATCTTTTTGAATCCCTTTCATCCAAATTCTGGTCATTCTCAGGACACTATTCCAAATGTGAATGCTCACTAAAACACTGAATTCTTGGCTCTTAAAACAACACGATCATCTAAGTTAACTAATTATTATCGTTCTGGTCAAATCCTGTAGGGAAATTAATGAAAGTAGAGATGGGGGACTGTAAGTTACGTTATAATCTTCTATTAATATAGATATTTTAAACCTTACTCTAGCGCAAATTTCCTCAAGTGTACTGGTTTTTAAGGAATTGTGGTGAATTTCTTTATCTGACGCCATACTCAGGGGTGAATAAATTCTGGTCAGATTCAGTAAATGGGGGGGGGAAGCCGAAGAGCCTGAGACTATGACACAGTTAGTAAGAAGCTAAATCATTATTTTGTACATTTAGATCAGTGTTCAAATTCATTAAATTAATTTGAATTTCTATTGACTAAATGGAAGTAGGGAAAAATTAGGAAACTAAATGGGTTGTCCCACTGCCAGGCAGTTAACGTTTCTAAAACTGTAACCCAAGCTCATTTACATATCATTTTCTCTTGTATCAGTTGACTCCTTTTCCATCCTGCATTATGCCACAGCAAGCATCTTTCTTACTCTAAAAACCTCATACTTCACATGCATTTTCTTTTAAAAGAGAATTCGGAAAGAAGAGCTGACACTTCCTAACTGCAAACCAACTAGTTAGATAATTCATAGCTTTAATCTAAGGTCTAGCATTTGATTAAATGGAAAGATGGTAGGAAAAGATGGAAATGAACACAGGGGTGGGTTTAAAAAAGTTTACGTTTTTAACAGTTTGACAGTATCATTTTCTTCACACTGTGGATTTCATCGGACTTTCCAAGAAATCCTCACATTTCTTCTGTTTAAGAACTGGAGCGTTTCTGTTGCATTGTGAGGCAATAACGGAGTATTATTCTTGTTACTCCTGGAGACTTCTGGAAATGTATAAGCATGTAACTGCAGTAAAGAAGATATTATAGATCAAACAATCATACAATGATTACACAAAATTTTGTATTTTATGCATATTGAGCAACTGCTACTACATTGAACTGCGATGTTATGTAATACGGCTTCCAGGAACCGTTCTATCAAATTCATTATCATAACAGGGCATACTTAATCACTCCTTCAGTATACTCATTCATGGCAGCAGTTCTATATTAGAATAAAGTTAATTATCTTGACATAATATTAGAAGGTTTTGACTGCAATCAAAGGAAAATCACAACTGCTTGTTCAAGATCAAAGTACTGTATTGTAAACTTAAAGTAACATTCAGTTACTATTTCCTGCACTTGGTTTAAAACTAGAAGATTCCTGCATAACACGTTTCCAACACTGTTTAGAAAGAATTGTAGTTTACTCACCTTTTACCTGTAACTTATGTATAGCTTATTGGCTCTTTTTGTTTTAGGTGTACACACTTCATTCTTTAGCAGCTTCACTTTCTGCATCCATTTATCAAGCACTATGTGACAGCCACAGCTACAGGTAAAAATGGAAGTTTCCTTACAGTCCTACATTTGGCGTATACTTTGTGTATACAAAATGGAAATTCTTCATGCATGTGTCTAAAAAGGGGATTAAATATCTGTATATGGGTATAGATAGATACACAGTTTACACATTGCTAGCTTTGATATGCCAGATCAGTTTTACACAGACAAAATAACACCAGTCATTCAGATTTTTTCCAATAAATAATAGGAAAATCTGGTGTCACTCTCATTTGGGATGCTTCTGAAAAATATTTGAATGCTGTTTGTTTTCCACAGAAAGTTCATTGCTGAATAGGAGTGCAGGGGAAACATTTGAGCCTAACTGAAGTCAGGTTTCAGGCAGTTTGTATTCCAAAATGGAACTGGAAGAGAATGCTGTAAAAATATTTTAAAAAATTCTTCAGAACAAATATGTAATAAAATTTTTGAAAAAGCCTTTTTAATATCTGGAGCTAGAAACATAACATATTAAAATCGATAATGCCACATGGAAACATTTAAAGTTTTAATAAAAAAATGTATTTTGTATACCATAAAATTAAAAAATTCTTGACTTAGTCCTATAGAATTTTAAACGTTGCATTTTCTGATTAAAATGAGAAGCATGTATATATACAATACTTTATTACAAAAATATTCTAAAATCCTTTCTCATCAGAAAAAAATTAATTTGTATTTAGCAGTCAAACAGAAGCGAATCAGTTTACAGGGATGGTTTATCAAGGACTGCTTTTGAGTGATCGACGCAGACTGAGGACAGAAAGTATTGAAGAGCATGCAACTCCAAACTCGTCTCCTGCTCAGTGGCCTGGTGAGGCAAAAATAAGGTTACTTTTAGCAGCACTGGACCAGCTCCACGTTTCAAAATTATCTCACTGTCCTCTAATACGATGGATGAAATGGATGATCAGTGATGGATAAGTGTTTCTGATTTAGTTCTCAGATTAATAACAGCCTTTAACTTTTTCACGTATCAAAACAAATAAAAACAGACTTTCTATATGGCAAACATCTTGCTTGAAGAAGAGACCACGATCTTTAGGATAAACTCAGTAAGCTGATAATTTGTCATCCTAAAATGTTTTCCTCCAGTCTGCCTCACCCCCTAGCAAAGCTATTTCTGTTAGCTGTTTCTACAATACTGTCTTACATCTGTGCTTTACTGGGTATAGCTATCAAAACAACTACTCCCAAAGTATGAGCATAATTTTAGTATTTTGAGGTCAACTGTGGAAACAGCGCAGGACTTTCATAGGCAAGCTGAACTGCCCCTAGTATTTGCAGAGAGGTACAACGCAGAAGTCCCAGACCCGAGAAGGCTTTTTTTAAATTTTGAACTTTATGATTTTAAGAAAAATATTATGTTTCATCTGAATAAAAGTATCATGTGGCTATTAGTATACGTTTAACATAAAATGTAGAGGTGAAACATTTCCTTTTTTTCCTTTTGTACTCCTACTCATTTAACATAGAACTTTTCCTCTTATCTCTTTGCAGGTGTGAGTTCACTTATAAATCTCTTAAGTTCAGCTCAGGATGAAGATCAGCCGAAGTTAAACATCCTACTTTGTGAGGCTGTTGTAGCCGTCTACCTGAGTCTCCTTATACACGCCCTTGCAACCAATTCATGTAATGAATTATTTCGACTAGCAGCCCATCCTTTGAACAGTCGAATGTGGGCTGCTGTTTTTGGCGGAGGAGTGAAACTTCTTGTAAAACCTCGAAGGCAGTCAGAAAATATTCCAGGTACTTTGTTCTCAAAAGGTCATGCTAATGATTTGCATTTTATACCTTTTAGTAACCCAGTAGGAGAGACTTCCTTCCTTTTAAAGACAAAAACCAAGCAAGCAGAATTTAAGTATCTACTGGCAAGAAAACTGTTATATTAATTAAAAAACAGAAAAAATATTAGTTTTGCAATTGTCCTTTGTAATGGCACCCAGCACATTTTGAATTTGCCATAAAAACTGTACAGTTACTATATTGCTAATATTACTATTAGATGCTTCCTTATAACACTTTCCAGGACTTTCGTCGTCCCTTTTTAGTGAAAAAACATGGTATAAATCAGTGTTCGCACCTATGGTTTTCTGTATGTGAGAGATGAGTGTTACTGTTTAACGATTGCAGCAACTTGGAAGCAGTATTTCTGAAACCAATTTCTATTGCAAGATACGATTTCACCTGGCACAAGACCACAGAGAAAAAGCATCAACTTCATCTGTCAGACAAATAGTTCATGCATATGTAAGCTCCAACTAAAACCAGGAATTTTGCAGAGACAGTTGAGCATGTCTTAATATACTGCATGAGGAAAAGCAAAAGTGGAGACTGAATTCAGGCTCTGGAGACAAAGGCAAATACAGCTGTCTGTCATAGATTTCACACTGCGACAATACTGAAAATCACGTCACAGACTTTCAAAACAACGATAGGCTTGAAACTTATGCAGAGATTAGATGTTCCGTATCTGAAATATAAAACAAAACAGTAATAAGGCAATGCACCATTATAAGTACGCACAACAGATATCTGTCATTCATGGAATAACTTAAACTCATTTAGGGCAGTTATTTTCACAAGATGTTAATATGAATAACTTCTATAAAGTCATGTCTTCATTTGAGATGTATTCTGTTTTCCTTTAACCTACAAGCTGCTACAGCTTCTGATGTTTCAGAGGATGGTAATGAAGGTTTGTAAAAACTTGCAGTGTAGATGAATGTTAGTAGTGGCTTTTTAAAAAAAAAAAAAGTGTTTAAATATCTAGCTCCTTTGTAATAAAGTAAGTGTGGTCGGTCTTCAATGTTGCCTGGCCAATAACACTTTGAAAAACAAATTCCACATTAATATTTTGATAACTATTAAGACATTTTAAATCATAACACTTTAAAATAGACTTGTCAAAAAGCCCGTCTCTCTATTCAAATTTTCTTCACTATCTTAAGAGTTCCTTGGCTTATATTTTGAATAACTACTGCTACTTGTGCAGTTTACAGTTCAGTGAAATTTTATACATTACTTTTATTTCTCAACAAAATTTCTTCATTTCTCTTGAGAAATTTTTCAGCTAAAAGCTTTTTACTTAAAAGCTGCATCTCCTGAGAACTTAATTCAGATAATAAAATGTATTTCTCATGATATATCCAAGGTATAGATGCCACAGTTATTGAATTTATCATAAGTGAACTTTTTGTGTGATTACACTTACTTTATTTAGGCTGGCTTTGATTTCTGAATCAGTAGAAATTAGTACCAATAACAATGGTTTTAGTTGCTTCAGTTATAAAATCTAGCCATTTCTAAAGATGCAATATTAATATCAGCTTTTCAAATTACCTGAATTTAGCACCGCCTCTTCCATCAGAAGAAATGGATAAACATCGCCGTCGGTTTAATATGAGAATGCTAGTGCCAGGAAGACCTGTAAAAGATAGCAGCGTGCCGCCACCAGTACCTGCAGAAAGACCCTCTTACAAAGAAAAGTTTATCCCTCCGGAACTCAGCATGTGGGACTATTTTATGGCAAAGGTAATTTAAAATGGAAAATAGAAGTTACAGTTCATAAAAGCGTGTTTCTTCTCTGTTAAGTTTTAAAGGACAAAAATAATGTGAAAATTGTGAGTGCTCTTTGTAGTAAGCTGCAGAATATTATCTCGTAATAAAAGATGAAGAGCCTACAAGTCTATTACTTAACTTTCAAAACATGTCTCTTGCCAATAATAGAGATTAACACTTTTCTCCTTGCTACTTGTTTATGTTTCAGGGAAGCTTATTTATAGGTTCAGTTGTTGTCATTTAAACTCTATGACAGTGATAACTAAAGTAAGAGTTGAATATTAAGAGATCAGAAAATTGCTTTTATAGCAGACTTTTATTTTGCGTTGCAGCCATTTCTTCCTTTATCAGACAGCGGTGTTATATATGATTCCGATGAAAGCATTCACAGTGATGAAGAAGAGGATGATGCTTTCCTCTCTGATATACAGATCCAGGAACACAAAGATGCTAATTCTTACAGGTTAGCAGAAATTGCCACTGTTTTAGAGTAATTGTTATGTGCTTACTTTTGCTTCCAGATTAAAGAAAATACAGGTCCTCTGCACTGTCCAGTTTAAGTCAAATAATTTTAGTACTGTGGATAAGACTTATCTGTGGCAACAGGATTACAGAAGTGACAAATTCTCATCACAGTGACAGTTCCCCATTTACTTGCCTACAAAAATGGGATTAGGAAGTCAAAGCCATGTGGTTTGTGTTTTTGGGGAGGGGAAAAAAAAAAAACAAAAAAAATCTTCATTTTTAAGACACAAAGAACATGAGGTACCACAATGCCAGCTCTAGAATGATGTTTTAGACTACTGATTCAAGCATGATCTTTAGTTTTTGAATGAGGGGCAGATTAAGTAGAACACTTTAAAAAAGAAAATGTTGCAAGATAAAATGAAATAAAGTGGATGACCTCAGCATTATAATAATGAATGTTAGTATTGGCTTTTTAAAAAAAAAAAAAGTGTTTAAATATCTAGCTCCTTTGTAATAAAGTAAGTGTGGTCGGTCTTCAATGTTGCCTGGCCAATAACACTTTGAAAAACAAATTCCACATTAATATTTTGATAACTATTAAGACATTTTAAATCATAACACTTTAAAATAGACTTGTCAAAAAGCCCGTCTCTCTATTCAAATTTTCTTCACTATCTTAAGAGTTCCTTGGCTTATATTTTGAATAACTACTGCTACTTGTGCAGTTTACAGTTCAGTGAAATTTTATACATTACTTTTATTTCTCAACAAAATTTCTTCATTTCTCTTGAGAAATTTTTCAGCTAAAAGCTTTTTACTTAAAAGCTGCATCTCCTGAGAACTTAATTCAGATAATAAAATGTATTTCTCATGATATATCCAAGGTATAGATGCCACAGTTATTGAATTTATCATAAGTGAACTTTTTGTGTGATTACACTTACTTTATTTAGGCTGGCTTTGATTTCTGAATCAGTAGAAATTAGTACCAATAACAATGGTTTTAGTTGCTTCAGTTATAAAATCTAGCCATTTCTAAAGATGCAATATTAATATCAGCTTTTCAAATTACCTGAATTTAGCACCGCCTCTTCCATCAGAAGAAATGGATAAACATCGCCGTCGGTTTAATATGAGAATGCTAGTGCCAGGAAGACCTGTAAAAGATAGCAGCGTGCCGCCACCGGTACCTGCAGAAAGACCCTCTTACAAAGAAAAGTTTATCCCTCCGGAACTCAGCATGTGGGACTATTTTATGGCAAAGGTAATTTAAAATGGAAAATAGAAGTTACAGTTCATAAAAGCGTGTTTCTTCTCTGTTAAGTTTTAAAGGACAAAAATAATGTGAAAATTGTGAGTGCTCTTTGTAGTAAGCTGCAGAATATTATCCTCGTAATAAAAGATGAAGAGCCTACAAGTCTATTACTTAACTTTCAAAACATGTCTCTTGCCAATAATAGAGATTAACACTTTTCCCCTTGCTACTTGTTTACGTTTCAGGGAAGCTTATTTATAGGTTCAGTTGTTGTCATTTAAACTCTATGACAGTGATAACTAAAGTAAGAGTTGAATATTAAGAGATCAGAAAATTGCTTTTATAGCAGACTTTTATTTTGCGTTGCAGCCATTTCTTCCTTTATCAGACAGCGGTGTTATATATGATTCCGATGAAAGCATTCACAGTGATGAAGAAGAGGATGATGCTTTCCTCTCTGATATACAGATCCAGGAACACAAAGATGCTAATTCTTACAGGTTAGCAGAAATTGCCACTGTTTTAGAATAATTGTTATGTGCTTACTTTTGCCTCCAGATTAAAGAAAATACAGGTCCTCTGCACTGTCCAGTTTAAGTCAAATAATTTTAGTACTGTGGATAAGACTTATCTGTGGCAACAGGATTACAGAAGTGACAAATTCTCATCACAGTGACAGTTCCCCATTTACTTGCCTACAAAAATGGGATTAGGAAGTCAAAGCCATGTGGTTTGTGTTTTTGGGGAGGGGAAAAAAAAAAACAAACAAAAAAATCTTCATTTTTAAGACACAAAGAACATGAGGTACCACAATGCCAGCTCTAGAATGATGTTTTAGACTACTGATTCAAGCATGATCTTTAGTTTTTGAATGAGGGGCAGATTAAGTAGAACACTTAAAAAAGAAAATGTTGCAAGATAAAATGAAATGAAGTGGATGACCTCAGCATTATAATAATGAAGAGTGATGGCTCTTTTATGAGAGACTCTTCAAGTGTCTCATTAGTCCTTACAGCTGTGCTGTATAGGATTTGTATCTTTAATATCTGTGAGACTCTTTCAGCGTGAAAGCTTCTGCCATGAATGCCAAACTCAAGTAATGTCTTGTCTGTATTCATGGATTTCATGGAGAGTTTCAGGAGGCATTTCAGGGGGCTTGTACATAATTCTCCATCTTGCAGAGGCTTGCGCATTTACGCTCTTTTATCTGGGGGAAGACTACAATAATCTGGGGTTTGCAAAAGAGAGAAGGGGATACTATCTGTTACAGTGAGTGCCCTCAGAGGCACCCTTACCTTGCATAGTTGATATGTAAGTAGCTTTCTCTTGTGTGTCTGGTAAACCTCAGTGAACCATCTACACTGTTTTTCTAATCTGTGTGTTCGGTAGAAAGAGAAAAATATTCTGCGGATAACTGTGTTAATGTTGTTTTAACACAACTAAATACTCTTTTTTTTATACAGCTGGGCTCTTCTGCATCTGACAATGGTAAAATTAGTTCTGCACAATGTTAAGAACTTCTTTCCCATTGCTGGTCTGGAATTCACTGGTACGTTAAATTCGGCTTTACATTTTAGTTTTCTGTATAAGTGGCTTTCTGTCAGACTTTGCTTTTTAACTTTCATTTTTAAATTTAAATAATTTAATACATTATTTTTTACAATGGCCCACAACTATGTTTCCTTTCAAGATTCTTTTTTTTGGATGGTTGTATTATTCTGGTTTTTTTTATACACACTGTAAATTAAATGTTTTTTTTTCCTCTAAGCCTTACTCTATTAATATTTCTGTTTAGATCTGCCTGTAACATCACCATTGGGCATTGCTGTAATAAAAAATTTGGAACACTGGGAACAGATTCTTCAAGATAGAATGGACCAGTTTGAAGGCCCGCCACCAAACTACATCAATACTTATCCCAGCGACCTTGGCGTAGGTGCAGGACCAGCTATTCTCCGCAATAAAGCAATGATTGAACCTGAAAACACACCATTCAAGTAAGTGTTTTTTTCCTAGCAAAACCACGTTCTTTGATCATAGAAATACTGAAGAGTATTTCCACCTAAAGTTAAACAGCCAAATGAAGGTTGGCTAGATCTTAGTTCTAGCCAATGCTTTACAGAAAGCACTTTCCCGCGTTCCCTTTGTTCCTTCTTGTGCAGCTGTCTCCCACAGCAGCCTTTACTTATTCTGCTGCACCTCTCACAACTGCAGCAAGAAAGCAAAATAAGAAGGAAAGAGCGAAGCTTGGAAGACTACAAATCAAGGGCAACAGCTGCTGCTGGGAAGACCCTATTCAATCGTTTTTACTGTTCCTCCAGTAGCAGCTGTCTCCCGCCCTACCTCAGCAACAGAAGAAAAGACTTAAACAATACATGCAGATGTCAGGAGGAGGAGAGAAAGAAAGTTGTAGTGTGGTCCTTGTAAAGCCAATCCTCCTGTGTTTAGACCAATGTCATGCTTGCAGGTATCTTTAAATGCAGATAGCGAACCATGTTTTCAACTCAAAAACAGCTTGCTTTTCTCAATATACTAAAATACAACTTTAGGTTTGCTCACTATATATGACTTTGGATTTGCATGGTTGATACTGCTATAGGGATTTTATTAAAATATTCTTACAAACATGCACTGCTTCTTTAGAAATATTTGTCCCCAAATCTGAGGCAATAAATTTTATTTGGCTCATATATGAGCTAAATATTTGTGAATTCTTTCAAATACTGAAAGAAATACATAAGGAAATTCTGTAGGGCCAGCATAATTCCAACATAAAAGCAGTTTTAGTAGAGCGCAAATATAGACATAAATGCAAGTCAGCAGATTAAACTGTAGTACCTGGAAGTTAGTAACATAATGCAGATTTTAAAAAAATGCAAGAAAAAAGTATCTCTTGATATTTGTCTTGAACAAATTAGAGCTTAAACTTTGGTTGGTTGTTTATTTTTTTTTCTTCAAATTGGAGTTTCTTGTAAAGTCATTCAGAGTCTTTCTTTAGATTTGTTTTTTTGTCCACCTTTAATTACATTGATGCTTTTTTCCTCTCCCCCCACCCCCCCACTTTCTGTTTTATCCAGATCAAAGGATTATTCAGCTCTTCCAGCAAAAAGGCTCTGGCATTTTCTTGTGAAGCAAGAACTTCTTCAGGAGACTTTCATAAGATATATATTCACAAAGAAAAGAAAGCAAAGTGAGGTAAAAAAAGGATGTAACTTTTTTTAAAAGAAAGCTCAATTGTAACTGTTCCTCAGTCTCTTCAGTATTTCTTTTAATTTTTCTTTCCATTTTTTCGTTGGCATTTCAGTTTCCTTTCTTTCATTTTACAGTGTTTGGATTTTTTTTTTAAATCAACATGACCGTCATGTTGTTTATGTTGTTTATTGAAATTTTAATTGAACTGAATATTTTTAGACAAGACATATCTCACCTTACCTTTATGTATTTGAATACTGTCCTAATAAAGAAACAGAACATTTGCAATAATAGAAAAATGGTAATAAGTAAATAAATTAAAGTATTCATATAATATTTTTTGTGTGTCATACTGAAAAAGAAATTTAAATGAGCTATTACTTTGTGTATATGTATATATGCACGAGTAATATATACATATAAAAGTAATATTATATAGTAATATATAATGTGGGGTTTTACGAATTGTACCAGTTACAACTGTAATGAGTTCTAACTGAAAACTTAAACCACCGCATAAGTACCATGGGAAATAAGTAAACTATTTAATATCTTTAAGAATTCCTGTAAGTATGGAGTTTGTGTGTGTATGACTCCTCCGTTTATTTACTATATCATACATTTTGTGTTCATCTAGGAGGCATTACATTTTAAGTGAGTTTGTTTAGATTCCTGTCTCAGTTTCTGTGCCTTTTATAAAAAGTTAAAAATACATTTGTCATCATTTACTGACAGAGTGGCCTTTAAAATCTAGTTTGGAATGTTTCATTCTTTTTTTATATTTGTTTGTGCATGTGTTTTGTGTTTGTGACTGTGTGATGTTATGTAGTCTGTAGAAGATCGTGTGGAGCAGGTCAAACAAAACTGCGTAGCAGAAGATCACAAAACCAAGGTAGTATCCCTTCTCCCAAACCTCTAGCACATTCTTAAAAGTTCTGTGGAACTGGCTTTTCTTTCTCTAATGTGACTAACAGAAGCTCTATGTTCTGTGTAGTCTGTGTGGCAGGCTTTTAATCAGTGAATTACCTTTGGATGTCCTGATAATTGGGATGAGTGAACACCTTGTAAATAGCGTTGCACACACAACTTTGTGTTTCTTACACTCAAATATAACTTTTGGCTTCTAGAACACCAAAGAGTATGAGAAGTCTAAAGTTTAGCTTCCTAAACAATGCTGAGGCCACTGAACTTTTCTTGCATGAATTTTGTATAGATTTTTGCAGTCTGAATGTACCACTACAAAATGGATTTTCATGCTAATTGAAATGTCTTATAAATGTTTTGTAGGTTGAAGCAGATCTTGGCTACCCTGGAGGAAAAGCAAAAATCATTCACAAAGAATCAGATATGATAATGGCATTTGCAGTTAATAAGGTAAGCCTCAAATACTACAATAAGTGTAATAAAAAGATCTTAATTATAGTTAGTGTAAATTTTCTATTTGTGCTCCATAGGCAAACAGCAATGAAATTGTTTTGGCATCTACACATGATGTTCAAGAACTTGATATTTCCGCTCTGATGGCTGCTCAGTCATTTATATGGATTGGGGAAGAATATGACAGAGAGTCTAAAAGGTAGGATTGTTTCTTTCTGGTTATATTAAGAGTATTGGTTTACTGTGAGGCTACATATATAATAGCTGGGTAAGCGCAAGTGGATCATACAAAAAAAAGTTAATTACTCTTCTTCAGTAGGTTTCAGATTGCTTTACAAAGGAGTGAGGGAAGGCAAAAGAATAATTACTGTCTTCGTTTTACGCATGGAGAAGCTAAGGTTTTGAGGGGTTTGAGTGTTTTGGGCATGTCTGCACTGCAGAGTGAAGTAAAATCCCATGGTGCATAAGCTAATAAAGGAAGTGCTACGTTAGAAACACTGCAGTTGCGTCACTGCAGTGTTGAGGCTAGTTGTGGTAGCTGATGCTAGTTGTATAATGCAACGGCCGGAATTACTGTCTCCTCCATTATTGTGCTGAGAACTGTGAATGTATCAGCTGCAGCAAGCGCTCATCTGTACCACGCTCCATCGCACAGAACAGATGTACATATAGACGGGCAGGTCAGGAATATTCCAACAATATTCTTCTCAAGAGAGCTTATATTCTCGACATCAACCTACCACAGTTAGGATCACCTCTTGAGGTTAAACACCGATAGCTTTGGAGCACGTAGAAAGCGTTTGTACAATCTAAGTGCAGGAATTATCAATTTACGGTCTCATTATAATCACTTCCTCTACCCACTGCCATTAGGCTCTTAACAATGAGATAAGCAAAGAGCATTGGTAGCAAAGAAACATTTGTTTAAAGCAGAGCACTGCTGTTCTTTTACAGTTCTGATGATATTGACTTTCGTGGTTCTACCACAACACTAACTCAGACAACTGCGCCGTCTTTCGGAGCGAATCAGATACAACCATCTTCATCTATGCCATGGTTAGGCAGTGGTCAGACTACCACCGGCGCTGGCGTGGTAAGTACTTCTGTTGCGTGCAGCTCAGGAGACCGTTACTTTTTTTTAGTGTATTATTTAGTGGAGACACCTAGTGTACATTAGTCATCATACTGTTAATTAAATGTTGATATGTAAAGCCTACAATGACCAAGACCTGGCCAAAAAGGCGGCCAAACTAAGCATTTTCTTGTATATTGTGGCATAGAATTATTGCGACATAGAAAATAATGGGACAATCAGGTTTTTCTCTTTCTTATGGGAACTCTGAGGTAGGACCTGGAGTTTTCTGGGGACAAAACAAAACAAACAAAAAGAGCCAACCAAAACCATAACAATCCCAAACTTTAAGTTCTTGCATTGGGACTAATATCAAAAGCATACACATCAGCATGTGCTTAAGTTCTTTGTATAATAGAAGATAATATTAATACTATTTGAACTGTCATAAACAGGCTTTAATCACTATACTGCAACTAAACATAATTAGATGCAGATAACGTTAGCTTAACAGGCTTTTTTTAACGGGGGACACTCACCGTGTAGTAGTACAAACAAAATTGTAGAGTGTGTTTGTGTCTTTTTTCCAAAATTATTTTAATTTTTATTTGTTTTATATGAAGCTTATTAAAAGAAATCTGAATAACGTCAAGAGAATGGCTTCACATCCAGTCCATCAGTATTGTAAGTGAATCACACTTACTAGTACGGAGTAGATAATTTTCTATAAAATACTGCAGTATTAATGAACATCTATCTTTTAATCTTAGATCTTACAGGAGCACAAGACGGTAGCGTTCGAATGTTTGAGTGGACAAGGCCGCAGCAATTGGTATGCTTCCGGCAGGCTGGGAATGCCAGGGTTACGAGAATGTATTTCAATTCCCAGGGCAATAAGGTAAGTACAACATTTAGGATTTTTCCTTTTTTTTTTGTTGTTCATAAGGAAACGTTTGGTTGTGTTGTGACCTCTAAAACAGTTTTAACTGGCGACACACAAAACCATTAAGGTGTCCTACCATGATGACATAAGCAGTATTGTATCGTTCATTCTGGCTGAATATGGAAGCTTTGTAATAAATGCTGATCCTTATTCTCCTTTCTCTTCTTGTCAGCTTCACACTGCTATCCCATGTCCCATTTGCTGCATTTTCAGACTCTTTATTCTCCCTGTTCTGAAATCTGTGTTCCCATGTAGTGACCTTTTTAAATTAAACATTAAAAAAAAAAAAATTGAGCTTACTTTGTAGAAGCAAACTTGTATCAATCTAGGCACCGGTCTTCAAGAACTGCTTCACACTCTGCGCTCTGGCCAGTTTTGACAGAATGCATTTCCCAGCAGATACATATAATAGCGCCCATTAGTTGAAGAATGTAAGTATACTCCAGTACAGTGGAGAGCAGAAGGAGAGTACAGAAGAGCAATACACTTTGGCCAGAAATGACTCTGTGAGGTATGAGAGATGCAGAAAATGGAGTGGACAAAGAAAGAAATTGGGAGGAATACCCACCTCTTCAGTTTTTCATGTTGCCCATTCTGTTATTGTAGCAGGTCTTGTCTGCATTTTACTGACAAACTATTTAACTTCATTATAGTTAAAAGCCATAAAAAGTAAATCAAAGGAGTTTGGGCATGACTATAAGATAGCTATGAAACAGCAAAGGTCAACATTCAGAAATAGCTGGAAATAAAAAGTATCTCCCAGCATACCTATCTCCAGGTAGCATAAAATCTCATTTAAACTTTTTATAAAAGTTAGTGTTTTGGTTATGTTTTAAGAAATTACAATCTTAACATCACATGGGAATCAATTTTAAGTAAGAAATTAAGATGTACTAGTTGTCCCCGCTGCTCCACATGGAGGTCACTCAGGCAGAACTCATGAAACCTGACTAAAAGGAGAAAATATAAAAAATAATTCTAACTATTTCTAAAAACATTTTGTAAAATACTTATAGGATATGCTGTATGGAATATACAGTATTAATTGTTATGCATTTTGGTTAACAAATATAACTCAGTCATTTTACCATTCATGATACAGTATAGTCCTTCCATAATTGTTCTCACCGTGCTTTTATGGCATGCTGTCATGCATCTTACTTCACTAAGCATTTTCAAGTAGAGTCACGGAGTACTGATGCCTCTGTAAGCTTTAGCATTTAACATTAGGATTTGAAAGATAAGCTGCCATGCTTAAAAAACCTCCATTTGCAGAAAAGAGTTAGGTATGTAGGAGAGCATCAATCATTAAATAATCATTAAACAATCGGCACTGAACTCGCTTGGCTTCTGAACTACTTTTTTGTACCTGACAATCATTGTTGCTGATATTTAATGTGCAGGCAATGGTTTGGTGTTTTAGGTGGGTTTTTTCCTGAAGTCAGCTGTTTGCTGTCATGAAGTAAGCATCCAGTAACCAGTACGTTATGCTAATAAATGCAGTTCGTTCCTTGCAGTGTGGTGTTGCTGACGGTGAAGGATTTCTAAGTATTTGGCAAGTAAACCAAACCACCTCAAATCCTAAGCCCTATCTGGTAAGTAAACAGAAATTTTTATTTTTTTCTTTTTATAGAGGAAAGTTAAGCCTCTGAGACTCAAGACAGGCCAAAAGCATAAGAGTTTCACTGAGATGTTTTTGATTTTGCTCCTTTTTAATTGGCATACTGTATCAAAACAACTGTAGAGTTTGTGATACATCTTTAGAAAACTAATTGTACAATAATCATAAGCTGCAATGTAATTAGAAATACTACTTCAGCATTACCCCCGATTAAATTAAAAATCAGAGCTGACAGTAATTACTTTAAAACCCCAAGACTTAGTAAAAATACACTCCTCAGTTCTTTTCACTGCTTCGTAACAGTACGTTAAGACCATGCTTAATTTGAAATTCAGGCTATTGTGATACACTATATTGTGAATTTGTTATAGTTCAGTTATTTTAGTATCTTTTTATTTTATACTGGAATTTTAATCCATTGCTCCATTCTCTGAGGTTTCAAACTGCATTGCCCATCAGTTTTTAAACTTTGTTTAAAAGAGTGCTTGTGTTACGCTATCAGTGACATCAGACTGATAGTAACTTTTGATGCAGACTACAACTGGTAAGATTGCATCTTTTTTCTTTGTTTTGTTTTTAATAGAGTTGGCAGTGCCACAGTAAAACCACAAGTGACTTTGCATTTATAACCTCTTCAAGTCTCGTTGCTACCTCGGGACAGTCCAATGATAACAGGTGTGTTTAAAGAAACAACGAGGAATTTCACCAAAGCTATTCATCTCCGTTAACGTGCTAGCTCTTGTGCATTAATGTGTGGCTGACATTTTAAGGCTCAGTGTTCTAAGCTTTGTTACAGCTTGAACTTGCCAGATGGTTTCTTTGAACATCATTCCTTCAGTCGCTTGTTTCCCAAATTTAGTTTTTCTGAGGAGTGGTCAACAGTTAACCAGGTTTTTTAAGGCGTATTCCAAATGCAACTAGTTTGACGTGATGCCGTTTGCTGGGGGTAGAAATATGTTCAGGAAAGGCAAGATAATTCTTTGTCTCTGAAAAGAACAACTTCTATAATTTCTTGGTACAACCTAGAATTAGTACACATCTTCAAGGTAGAAAGTATAGTTCCACTAAGAAGCATAAAAGAGCATAGAAAGAATTAAAGTTCTTAACACTTTGCGTATGCTCTCCAGTGACTGCAGAGTCAAGGGCTCCTTGTTCAGTTCTACCTTCTAGGCTTTGACATAAAAAGTGAACGCTTTCTGAGTCATGTCACCCCGTGAATCACGTAGCAGCAGGCCATAATGACTTTTTTCCCCCCCTCAGAAACGTGTGCCTCTGGGACACTTTGGTTTCATCTGGTAACAGTCTTATACATGGTAAGTACTGCAGTGAAAATTAAACCCCTGCTTCTTACTGACTAAGGAGATACAGCATGTGTATGCATTTGGGGCAAGGGGAAAAATTTGCACTGGGGAACTGGTCTAAATATGCGTTGCACACTAACGCATGCGCCAGAACTGGTACTATATCGTCTCTAGCATGATAATCTAGTTAATCTAATCCATATAGAAAAGTATGAAGAAAGAAGGTCATACACAAAGCTGGTTTTGTGACAGTATTAATAAAGTCTAAAATAGCTGAACACAGTCCTGAAAAAAAAATTAACGGCTGACTAATTAAGGCTGCATTATTGAACTCTTATGTGTATGCAGGCTTTCACTTAACCTGGCACTTAATTAATATATCCTCTGTCGAAGCACAGAGGAAAAGACGACTGTAGGTAATAGTAGAAGCAACTCCTTCTGTCTACTGTCCTCGTCTTTCAGCACTTGGACCGGATCCCTAAAAAGATGTTTGTGTCTCTTTGACCAGGTTCAATAATTTCATCTTTATGTAACGCACTAAAGCAAAATTCCATCATGTTGTGCTGTGAAAGAAAAATACATACAAATCCAAATATAATAACCTGGGCTTTTAAAAGAGCAAATTCAACCATCTGCAAACAACTGCAGTACTCGAATAAGCAATAGGTGCATTCTGAGATTCATATTTTAAAACTAGCAGATTACACAGAAGTTCAGCCTCATTTTAAAGAAATGGAGTCAGGGCTCCTATGAGAAATAGGTTAGAAAATTAGAATATAATAATACTTGTCTATAAGGTAATTAATATTTACTTTAATTTTTTAGTTCAGCTATACTATTTTTTTAACTCGGGAATTCAATTGAACTTAACATGGTGAATTTTATATTTTCTCAATTTTTTAAATTCAGGTATGTGCCTGTATTCTAAAATAAATTAGACTGCATGTCATGCTTTCTTGTGCATTAGATCTGTATAGCTCTCATGAGAGCAAAAAGCTGTCAGCCGATAGGACTTTACCCATATGAAGGAATGTATCTGTCAAGTTAGAAAATACTCAGCAAACAATTTATAGAAGAAATGCATTTTAAGATCAAAAGCTACTTATGGTTTCAAATCTATTAAATTCTGACATCCTTCTCCTTCAGCCTTCACTTGTCACGATCACGGTGCCACAGTACTTCAGTATGCTCCTAAACATCAACTGCTAATTTCTGGAGGTAGGAAGGGATACATCTGCATCTTTGACATCAGACAGAGGCAAATCCTTTACACCTTCCAAGCACATGAATCAGCTGTTAAGGCCCTTGCACTGGATCCTTCTGAGGACTATTTTGTTACAGGCTCAGCAGAAGGTAACATGAAGGTAAGGTATCGGAGGAGCCGAGTGGTATAGGAGAGTATTTAGCTGAAGTAGTGTATTGACGTACGTTGATCAGCACGCTGTAACTGGCCAGATGAACGCAGTAACAAAACAAAAACAAACCCAAAAAACCCAAACCTACATTTGATATGCAGGATGCTTGCCTTACGTTTATAATATAAACTTAAATATACGAATACCTTTCTAAAGCAAGTAGGTTTTGCTCTCTGCTAAAAAAGATTAAACAGTCTTTTTGAAGTTGTGTGACAGAATTTTAAGCGGATAAAGCAAAGTGCATGATTCTGAAACCTTAGCTTTATTTTTCTCTCTTAAAAACGTTCTGGTTTTGCCTTTGGATATTTCTCTTCGTAATACAGAGGGCGCTCAGTAACTTCAACATTGTGTGAAGTTTCTGTAACACCAAGTTCTGTTTTTCTCTTGATGCTGTAGCCCCAGACAGCTACTGAGATGTGGTAGTAGTAAGAAACAAACAACAAAAAAAAATAAAGCAAAACAGAAATCCTGTTTTAAAGGGCTCCTGCACCTTAGGACACAACAGACAGCTCGGACAGCTGTGCTACCGCTCTGCGTGCTTATTAATTATGCAGCTACTCTCTGCAGCATTCCTTAGCAGAAAAGCATTTCCAGCTGCTGGAAAGCTGACAATAGGCATCTTGGATAAAAATGCAACCTGTCCATTTCTGCAGCTTTCGGGGGGGGAAGCTGGGAGGGGCACTACTGATCAGGTACCACAGGGCAGCTCCACCCTGCCGAGTAACCAGCTCGTCCGCGTTAAGGTAGCCTTAACGCTGTCTGGCCTTGTGCTTCATCAGGAGCCTCTCAAGACTCTTGGACTTGTTGTAATTGTTGCTAATAGGCAACAAAAAACACCCTTTATCTTTGCTGAATAGGGCTTAGAACAGCCAGGAATCTGAAACATTAGGGAAAAAATACAAATCCTAATTTTAATTTCCTTTTGTCATTTGTCACTCTTTCAATACAGGTGTGGAGACTGACTGGCTATAACTTAATTCATTCATTTAAAAACGAACATGCTAAGCAGTCCATTTTCAGAAATATTGGTGCTGGCGTCACCCAGATCGAAACTGTGCAAGGCAATCGTATCTTCTCCTGTGGAGCAGATGGCACGCTGAAAATGAGGGTTCTTCCCCATGCTTTCAATGTACCTTCAGGCATTTTTGACATTCTGTAGCGTTACGTGAGCTAATCCTGTTTTTATATAATGTCCCTTTCAGTAGCTAAAAACACAGTGACGTGCACTGTGGAAAGGAAGTACTCTGTTTCCTTTCAAAGCAGTTACTGCAGCATTAAGTATTACGGGGAAAAAAGATTAAAAAAAAAAAAAAGACTTTTGCAACAGGTATATTTTGAGTATGCCCATAAGGATCACTGGGGTGGAAATGCATGTACTGTATTGTAAAAGCAAAGACAAACGCAGTACAGTCACCGGTGGGGTTACTGCTCAGTAACCCACAAGCTGCAGTTAGTAAGTGTGTTGTAAAGATTCTGACAGTTGTCAGTCACTCAACAAGCACTGTGGCTCTACAAGTCAGTAAGCATTTCTGGTGTGATTCTGATTATTTTTATTCCCCTTTTTCCCACTAATTGAAGCATGTGCAGAACTTCTCATTGTAAAATAGTTTAGTTTTAATTAAGGGTACTCAGTGTATTCGATTTTTGCAAGAAAGTGTAATGGATGCAAATGCCGTGGAACATGTGCAATCAAGAACGTACTGTGAGACACGTATCATTTTATGCTGAGACTTTTTTCCCCAGTTAGTATTAATACACAGTCGATACTGGAACTTGCACATCAACACATTTTTAAATGCGATGGTTTTTAATTTGCACACTATTTTCCTTTCCTTCTGACAGCTATGTTTTCTATTGGACACCTGCCTTTACTTTAGCAATGTACTGTAAGCACTAAATGTTAGTAGTGAAGACATCCATGATACTAGTCAGCTTTTAGTTTTGAAATTCATTTGTCCAGAAAATACTTCATTAAATGAAGCTGTTAAGAGAATACCAATAGAACATATAATGCCACATTTCAGATGAATGTCAGGCTTTATGTGGCCAGCTAGTAAATAGTGGATAAAACTGGTAATTAAATTATTACCACAGTATATTGTATAAACTATGCAGAGTTCAATATTGTTTGCTTGTAATATAACTAGCTACTGTTGTCAGATGTATTTTTCTGTTGTAAACAAAAACCATGTTCTTAAGAGACTGGAACGGATGTCTGCATATTTAAATGTTAACAAACTGTCTTATTCCTCCAATGAAAATCTTGATGTCTGTGCTGTATTGTAAAATATACCAGAATAAAAAGCACCTTTCTCCAAAGGTGATTTTAAATTGCAGGCTCGGAAGTATGGGAAGTATGGAATGAAAGAAGAGTAAACGTCATTGTTTAGTTTTCCCTTTGTAAGTTAAATAAATTACTTTTATTTCATGGAACAGTCCATTCCAGAACTCTTCCTTATATTTGATTAGATTTAACTAAACCTCCAGTAGATTGACTGGATACTGCCTGAGCTAGCTTTAACTTGACCTCGGACTGTGCTGAGATAAAAAGGATTAGCTGTTTGCATTGTATTTTCAGCTGTCCTAGAAAAACATAAGGTTAACAGAATTTAGTTCTTCATCTCCAACAAAGGCAGCTGTGAGAAACACAGACTGGTTCCGTCACTGAGAAAAGAGGCAGAATTTGTTGTCCCTTCTCCAAGAGGTTGATTTGAGTGGTTCAACAATGGCATTCAGAAATTTAACGTGATTTAAGATAGGCACATGACCTAGAAACTGTCACGTCTGGCTTGAACTGTATTTGCCCAAGCTAAAAGTCTACTTCACTAGTACCATAATTCAATTTTTAAAAAAAACCCCAAAACCCCACAAAAAAAACTTACCAACCAAAAAAACTTACCAACCAAAAAAACCCCCCACATCCCACAAAAATCGGAAGAAGCCCACAAACCGTCACTCTGGACTGTGAAGTTGTGCACTCTTTATAGGTATAGATAGAATTCTTGGTATATGAGTGTTGACGTATGTACTAGTTCAAGGTATTATTATTCTTTTTTCTCCCTCTGCATCTCTCTCCTTGGCATGCGAGGCCTGAATCCTGGCCTCAGCGAAACCAGCAGGTATGCTGAGAAGAGAGGATGCAGCCCAGGGCCAGCCACCACTATCGCGCACCGAAGCTTAGCTGCAGCAGAGGTACTTTCCCAGCACGTTTGCTAGACAAGGATCTGCAGGCACAGACATTCCCAAATTCATCAGTCCCTTTGATGGTGCCTGGATGTCACGCAGGTATCAAACAGCACGGTGCCGTTCAGGCTTTAAGTGATACTTAGCTTCTAAATCATTGGATGAGCTCCGTGAGCTTTACCAATATACACGGGCAGCTTAGAAATTCAGGGAGGTGGGGGGTTTCTGAGAGCGTGACTTTGAATTTAGATACACAAAGCAACAGTAGGGATTTATGTTTCAATGTTAAATTTAGAATTCTGAAACACCAGAACAAAATTAAAATCACAAAGTTCCTGTTATGTCTCACCTCTAGCTCTCAAAAATTTGAATGTGAGTGGGCAATCTCTGAATTACAAGTAACAACAAATTAAGTCACTAAGCACTACGATGAATACATGCATTCCTGCTCCAGCTATTTTACTTTTCTAAGAATAGCAGCAAAAAAGTATACCCTTCATTTTATGATTTCATTTGTATGGATGAACGTGGGGACAATTTTTTTTAGAAGCCTACCTTACTATAATTAAGTATCGTTATAAGCAAGTTATAGTGGTATAGTTTACGTGGCAGTGAGGGGCAAGAAAGAGTCTGCAGCAACACAAGCAACTCAAAACGCTGTTAAAAAGGGTTTAATTTTAATCATAAATTTTACATCTTTTCTTCAATGTTATACCTTGTTACTTTTCTTCCCACGCTCCATTCACTAAACACAATTTCATGTATATTCAATATTTGATAATGCCATTATTCCCATTTTCCTTGTACTCGGGCTGGATTTTGCTTTTGAATATGTAACAGTTGACTGGACTCATCAAATTTGAAGCTTTCTGCTTTTTTTTCTATTTAAACAACTATTTCCATCCCCATTATTTTTAACAGCTGTATATCTTTGTCCAAAAAAAACATTCACAGAGAATCAGTGGAAAGTATTAAGTGAAAATGACAGAGGTATTTGTACACAAAAGTTCATTATTTAGACATTTGTACTAGACCATAATCACTGACTAGAAAATGACTGCAGAAAAGATGATCGCAACTGGAAGTTATAAATAGTCTCTGCTGAGCACATGGCCATGGAATAATCGATGTACATTAGATATAATTATCAGCTGAATAACAGGGGAGAAACAAAAGCAAGTCTGTGCTAACTGTGTGCCAGCTGCAATAGGGAACAGCTAGGACGAGAACGGCCCGTGTAACTGAAGTGTGTTTATACCAAGGTGCCTGATCTCCCTTTTGTGCACACTCACAAGCCACCGTCGGTGAACAGAAAATTATGCCAAGAGAAGAGACCCCCGTGGGTATATCATATAGCTTTAAATATCCATTTAGTCAAACGTGGCTCCCATACCTGCCATTTTAAAATATATTCATCTGCCAAAATGTACAGGGTATACCATTAAGCTCCCATTCTCCCACGTATACAAATTCTTATCTCTTAGACTGTACGAAAGCATAGCGAGAACAGACTGCGAAGACCGTAACTCAAACCTTGCATCAACCTGCTTCTCTTTCAGTAAATCAAAAGCAAAACTTACTGTCGTATCCTTAGTATCGGTAACGTACATAATGCCACACGCTATGAACGCATTACCAGCCTTGGACTTAGGGTATGTAGTATTGATATGCCGAATGACTGAAAATGTTTCTTCATCAATATGTGCTACTATTATATTTTCGTCAGTGCTTGAGGCATATATAATCCAAAGACCCTTCTCGTCCACTGCTACGTTGAAATACGTCTTCGAGTTAGAAAAGAGGTAGTTACGACCGTGATATAAGGCATTTTCAATTAGCAGGGTGCCCAACGATGCTTTATCAAGCCCAAGCCTGAAATGAGATAAAGTAAGTATTCAGTATGTTGTGTTAAAAATTCATTTTTATATACACTGGTTGGCTGAATCAATTCAGAGCGCATTATTACCGACAGAAGCATTGTCAAAAATACTTGAGCTCAAGGACCATTCTGATGTCTTTTAAGATGAAGTACTCCACTCAAAGCACCTTCCAAAACACTAGGAGAAAATTCCAAAGTAATAACTAATCTGAAAGGTGCGCAAGAGCACGAACTCGCTTTGGGAGCTTGCACTTTATTTAGTCTATGAGCTTTATTATCACTAGGATGAAAGAAGCAACTAAAAGGAATGGATATGAAAAAGAATTAGATACCAGGTGAAGGCCCAAACTTGTGAAGTGAAATCTGTACAGAAGTTTGCTTTCTACTAGGTGGGAACTGAAGGGAGAAAATGTGATTGACCAAACCGGCATGAATTCTGGGCAGGTTCACCTAGTCTTAAGAGTTCCTCTTTTGAAAACAGTTCAGATAATGCAGTGATTTGCTCAAGTAAACATCAAAGGAATAAAAATTCTACTTTTGCAGAGCCAAAATTCTGACCTCATGCTGGCCTCCAACAGGACAGCCTGAACGTCTCATCTCTGATGTATAAAATTGTTTTTATTCCTTGAAATTCCTTAATAGGATGATAATCTGAGGACAGCGGCATTGAGCAGCTAAACTGAGTTCCTCTACTAGTTTAAGAGGGTAATCACCTACCATCAGACGCATTGGCAGTTAGCATTAAATCACTGAGTAACGCAGTGCTTTAGCAAAGGCAGAGGGAGTATGCTTTATCCTCTTAAGTAGTGCCTTCTGTAATGAAGCACATTTCGTTGTCTGGCTTCTATCTAACTGTAGCTCCGTTCCTCAAGTAGAGGAAAAACATTACTCAATACAGGAATCTGCTACAGTTACAAAAATTTTCTCAAAAGACAGGCTTAATGACAGGAACATTTCAGATCCAGGAACTTACAATAGAAGGAAAAATACTGGAAGAATAATTTTTGTGTGGAAGAGGCGTTGATAGCGTATACTGGAAAAATCATCCTAAGAAAAGTCAAGAATGACTAGCTAGACGATTCCCCTCAGCTTTTGTAAAACTCCTGTCTGCAGCAACTCCATATTCCAGCAGCATGTATGTGCAATAAAAAAAAAAAAAATTAAAAAAAAAGGATTCAAGGCTGGAGAAGATTTCTGAGAACTGTGTGTGTCAACCCAGTTAATCGTGTTAGTTGCTTCACGTTTGTAAATAACCTCAGGCAAGGGCAAGGGCTAGAAGGACAGCCCTTAGCAGGAATAGTCACAGAGAGATGCAGATTTTCTTCAGGATTTTTTTCTATAAAGAGCCAACAAGATAAAAAGCATCTCAAGATTCATTAGAAATGTGCAAGACCTGCAACACAGAACACCCTCCCAATGTCTTTTCCTCTTTTACGTGAAAACCCTGAAGGGAGCAGAAAAGTGAGGTTTCATTCCTGAGGTTCTCTTCCGCTCCCCCAGTCAAGGACAGTCTCTAGCCTAGAACTCCAAATGGTTCAGAAATTCCTTAATCTTCTGGCACCTTGGGGTAAATGACAAGATACAGTGTAATATTTTCATCAACCGCAGGGAACTCAAGCTACAAACACTTTTCTGATCGCTAAGATGAATGAAGTCAACCAAAAAGAACAGAGGTGGGAAAGCACGTTATGAAACAAAGGAAGAAAGGATGAAGCAATCGTAATGTCAGGAATCTGACCATCATGAGAAAAACCTGCCAAAGGTGAGACAAACGTCGTTTTACCAGCTTTTAAATATGACAGGAAATTCCTTTTAAATGTTTGTTTCAACATCTGCAAAATGAACCAACCAGGTCCTCACCTGTTCCTTCCATTAAATCAATACAAAAACTCCCAGAAGCCTTTCTGTGGCCCAAAATCAAGGACTTCACTGTCACAGAACTCATAGCGCCTCATTCTATCTGTGCTGAAGGTAAATAATCTTAGAGTGAACAACTGAACAGAAAGGCCATCTCGCAGCAACTTCTTAAAGAGGTTTTGAAGATTCCACGAATAGCTTGTGTTCCACTGCACGTGAAGGCATTTCCCGATTAACGGTTCCCAAGCAAAGGTGAGGAACCTCTGTCCTATCACTGCGTATTTCTTAGACAGAGATGGTCTTTTACAGACGTATAAACAAAAAGCCCTAAAGATATTTAAAGGAGGTTGCCAAAAAGTGGGCTTGTCTTTGGCAGAATAAATATTATAGAATCCAAGCAGCTTGCTCACATTCCTTGGCATCCAAATGGATATCGGAAGGCGGCACTCGCACCTGCTTGGGAATAGACATCAAAGTATTGTAATGTTCTTGGCTCAAACATCAGAGTCATGTAAGAGAACTTGAAAGCAGATGCAATCTTTCACTTGCCCTTGGGCTGTCTTTCTTTGGCTCTTCCCACAAGATGAGATTTTGTTTTTGATTTGTATTGTCTGTCTCTGTCCTCAGTACAAACTGAAGAAATAGAGATGCAATTCCCAGTTCCAATTCAGGGAGAGACATTGGGCGAGTTGTAGGAACTTCTTATTAACCAGGAATGAAACAGCGGAGCCACTCCTCCACAATGGAATGTGCAATTCAGCAGGTCGCCATGTCCTCAGCTGGTGCCTTAGGGCATTCCTCCGTACCAGCAGCATTAACTCAACCCCTACCAGCTAAGAACAGTGCTATCCGAGAGCAAAGCACGTGCATCAACCCCAGCAAGAACCTCTGGAAAGCCAAGTTCCACAAGTGGGCTGCAATCGTACAACCACTTATCTGTGTCCTACTGCAGCTGAACCAATTCTTACGCTGATGCAGGTCAATGCACAGCTTATTTTTTTTAAATCAAATCGGAAGAAACTGACCCCCAAATTCCTTAGTCAGTTCCCATTTCTTTCTTGCAATTACAAACACAGCAAAGAATCCAAGTTCAAGAACACCCACAGGAATGTAATGCGTAACAGAAACCCATTGGACCCCAGGATAGCCAAAAGAAAAATCTGTTGTCACCTCTGCACGTGGCATCTTGTTAATCTGGAGGCCCAGTTGTCCTGTCATGTAGTAACTACTCGGGTTAACCACTTAGACGCTGAGCTGAACAATGCTTAAAGAACTCTCAGAGCAGATAATGGACCTGGACTACCCTCCCAGTTCCTCTCCTCCCACGGCATCTGCACACACAGATGGAAGGCCGGTGGCCCACATTCTAGTTACAGATTGGAAAGAATTAGTTGCCCTGTTCTGGAAAGAATTCTGAACCATTCCTCCATTCTTCCTGTTCTAGATAGGACCAAAAAGAAACATAAAATGGTGCAAGGAAAGCGGTCTGCTTTTCTGAGGTTCACCTCTGTCACTCTAACCCGTTGCTCCTCCTTCCACAACATCACTTGCCTTAAGCCAACTATGTTTGACTTACTTCAGAATCACATTGGTTCCTCCCTTTTGATAGTACAGATGATTGTTTTGTACCGCATGACCGCATCCATAAAAGAATCCTGTGATGTTAATGATCCTGTAGCTGTCATTCAGCAAGGCATTGGAATTCTCGTATTCTTTTATAGAGTTTCCTAAACAAAGGGGAAAACATGAAAAAAAGGACTATCGTTTGGTTCATTTAATTTTGAAACCTCTACCCTAAAATTCAGTCTCTACTGAAAGTCCATCTCAATCAAATATCTGACAGACAACAACTGTATTTGTGTTTTCAATAGCGATTCAACTTGCTGGAACCTGATACCAGACATTTTCCTGCACTAAATGTAGCTCATGCAGCACCTGATTCATTTTCACACCTAGCTAAATGAAAAGGCAAAACTAGCTACAATTTAGGGAAGTAAAGCCATAGGAAACTGTTGAAAGAATAAAAAGGCATGAACAACAGGCATTTAAACTCGGATTGGTTAAAAAAACCTAAAATCCTCTAACTATTTTCAAAATCTGAGGTTGACTCTGAAAACGTCTACAGATACTACACGTCTATAACCATATGTATAGTCAAGTATTACACGGGTAATACGGAAAACATTCTGAAAAAGATGTGGGTAAAAACCCCGTCATACTCGATTAGAAATATTAGTTTAGGCTGAAGGAATTAAGAAAGCAATGTTAGCATAACAACTGACTTGTGATCAGTGACTACTACTAGTGTACCTGAAAAATGCATGGTAAGCCAAATCCTTTCATCGCTTGTATTTGCAGGTTCCCGCATCCAAGTTCCAAAGGTTTGCTGTACACTGACAAAGTGAACAGGACTTCCTACAGATGTTATGACACATTCTAGTAGAGAAAAAGCACATGTCCATTATCTGTGACATTAAAACAGTAAGTAGCAGTTAGTCACGCTCTGTAGCAGGTTACCAGCTTTTTTTGAAGGACCAGGGGTTCTGTCTTCAGCTTTTCCAACCAGGGTATCATCATTCGGCACAGCACACGTCTCACCTAGAGTTGAGAGAGAAAGGGTGAAACACGTCATTTTTCTGTATTTGACGTGACAGATGTGCACATCAGTGACGCCACTAGAATAAAGAAGTGACAACTGGGATTTTGTTTTGCCTGGGGAAAAAAGCTTAGGTTGGCCTGGTCAAAAAATGGGATAAAAAAAGACTTGCTCTCACCTCTGCGGAGGAAATGAAGTGTTCAGACTGGTTTGTTTCCTTAAAGTTGTCAGGCTGACAGTCAACTTTGAGGAGTAACTGATTTTGCTCAACAGATTTAATTCCTTAGCTGTGAATTTCTGCGTAGCTGCTTAGAAAGACAGAGTTGCCCCTTTCCTTAGGTAACTTTAGGCAACGGAGACAGCTGGCTGATTTAGCAGTGATATCAAAAAGGCTTTCTTGGGAATGAGCGAAGGCTAAACTCAAAAGCTTCGTGCCCAAATCTACATACACCAGCAGAGGGGGTGTGTTCTGCAGGCAACACTGGAGGTTTTGCTCGTGCTGTTAACGCCCGAGACAGTCATCAAGTACTAACACATACACTGAGCACATAACGCGTAAGAATGCGGGTCAGTCACCCATGCCATTAAAGAAGCAGTATGACAGACTAAGGGAAATTAGACACTATATTCCTTACACACACAGAAATGGTTCACATTAGAAACAAATAAACACCTGGAAACATTTTTCCCCACCCCTCAACAACTGAAAGAGTAACTGGTTGGGTTTTCTCTCAGCATTTACTGTTAAAACAACGCCTGAATGAAATTATTTATGGACCTTTTTCTACAAACCCAGATACCTCTTCTGCCTTTAAAACACCGCAACACATTTCAGTTTGCTCAGAACGAATAACCACAGAGAACAGTTCTCAGCTCTTTGCTGAAGATAGCCTGATTTCACTGTAGCCTTATTTTCTAATTCCATTGTTAACTTTCATCTCCTTACACATTTCACACTGCTTGACATGCAGGCTGCAAATTCTTTTGGACATGGCATTTTCGTTGTTGCCTCCAATATATTTCTGGGATTTACAGGGCTGTGATGAAGTTTAAATGAGAAAGATAGTAAAAATATTAAATAACTATAAAGTAATGCTGAAAGGGTACTGTGACATTCAGGAAGGAAAGGACAGATTATACTGCATTGTTGTTTTCTCCTTTAGGTAATATCCTCTCTTTGTTCATGCAGAAGGAAACCACTCCAAGATAGAGCAAGAACAACACATATTTCTTCCACCCATTTATCTAGGACGTCTGGTGATATGACATTGAAAGTCTGCAAGTGATCGCAGCGTATCTCCAAAACAAGGCACAGTCAATCCAACCGTGGGAAGATGAACGCCTATAGCTAGAATCTAGCAATCCCTCTAGATCCCCTTCCAGTTCGGATCTCAAAATACTCTCAAAATATCTCAAGAAAGGAACCCGCTCAGAGGAAATTATAAGTTGCAATGCGCAAGTTCATTTTCTTGGGCTGAGTCTAATAGATACAGTTAACGGAACGAGCAGTTCCCCGTACAGCAGTTTATCTACGACTATGGAATAGTCAAGGACCAGGTCAGTGTTTGCCGTGAAGCTGAGTGCACTATTTGCACTATTTGCATTTGAGAGTATTTGCAATACTCCCAGAGGACTCTCAGCTGCATTTGCAATGCGCAAGTTCATTTTCTTGGGCTGAGTCTAATAGATACAGTTAACGGAACGAGCAGTTCCCCGTACAGCAGTTTATCTACGACTATGGAATAGTCAAGGACCAGGTCAGTGTTTGCCGTGAAGCTGAGTGCACTATTTGCACTATTTGCATTTGAGAGTATTTGCAATACTCCCAGATGACTCTCAGCTGCACGAAACAGAAAGCAACTAAGATTAAAAAAACAGTTTTCAATCAGAGATTTATGTGAAATTTTCACTGCTTTCTTTCCATCAAAAAAAGATAAATATCCTACTGATTCCTATCATAAAATATTCTGGCTGAGAGTTAATGGAGTTTACAAGACATTAAAACTATTGATTTGGTCTGTCTGGGGAGGGTGGGAAGGATGGAGCGAGGAGTGTGGAGCAGGGATGTTTTGTTTCTTTTAGAATTAGCCAACAGTACCATTGAGAACAAATACACCTGAGCTTCCAACTAATTACTCTCTTCTCTCAAAGAAATAAAGTTTTACCTGATTCAAAATTTAATTTAAAGAAACCATTCTTGTATTCTTATGTAGTAAGTTAATTACAGTTGTAAATCAGCATGTGTATTCTCTTCTTCAAAGGGATATGAATATTTAATTACAAAAGCTGTTTTATTCTTTGAATTTTGGTAATATCATCTCACAGCCTACTGACTCATGAAACGTAAATGCTCATCGAGGAAGATCTCATCTTTGCAGAGTTATTTGAGTATAAGTCCCGTTTGCACACCGGGATTTAAAATCCATCAGAAATCCATCAGACAGCTTATCCTCCAAAGCACTTCAGGCTGTTTCAACACTCGAAAAGAGGCTACCTGAGCAAATGGTCCAATTATTTCTTGTACAACTGTTCCTGCATTTCTGAATCTCAAATAGGGTGAGACTTCTGCTCCAGCCATCTACTTTCCATCGCGAGGAGGCTCTTTGGGCTCTGTTCTGATACTTCAAATAGCCAGAATCTCCTGATTGAGGTTCTTACATGCTACCACAATTACAATTACATGCTATATTAAAAATAAGAGGTGGAAATAATTGATATATGTTCCACTCAGTATTAAATATTCACTGGTTAATAGCATTTATAATAATAATAATAAAAGATTCTTCATCTCAGCAAACTGTGCCGAATGATGGCGACATAAAAACCTATCACCCTATTAGTGGTGAGACATACAAATTGCTCTGCTTGTTTCACACTTAATAACTGCATGAAGGTCTTGTGCTATTCCCTTTCGGTATGCCTATCAAAAAACTACATTCCCAATTACAAAAGAAACCCCGCTTTACCAAACCCTGGGCACAGATAACTCTCCTCTTTTGCAGAAATGTGAAAGATCAGTAACCGAGACACCCTTTGCTATTTTTATAGGATTGCTCTGACCTCCCTGAAAACAGACATCTCAGCTGGGAGGAAAATTCATCCCAGAACTGTAGGGGAAGCAACAGTCACTGAAAGCCGCAACCATCTCGAATACAATACCATCCAGGGGTAAAAGACAAGGACAGCCAGATCCAGTATGGAGATCCAAAACCAAAAGTTTGCTTCCGTTCTCAAGCTGGAGTAAGCTAGAAATCTTGCACCAGCTTCTCTTTGCTTTCCATAATCAGCTAATACCTTGAACCAAAATTTTCCAGTTATCACAATACCACAATGTTTGTAGAACCCATGTTCCTGAGCATCCAAACCACCGGCCCCTCTCATCTTTGTTGTGGTTTAACCTCAGCTGGCAACTGAGCACCACGCAGCCGCTCGCTCACTCCTCGTCGTCCCCCCCCCGGGTGGGATGGGGGAGAGAACTGGAAGAGTAGAAGTGAGAACTAACTTTCTCTGTGTGTGCCCCACACAGCAGAGGCAGTGCTTTACTCTTTAAAAAACACACGTGGGCACATGCAGACACGCACGTGGATTTTATCTGAGGCACAACTTTAATCTATTTGAGAAAAAAAATCTCCTAAAACATGGACAGAAGTTGTGACGGGAAACACTGACACCCGCAATATCAAGTTCAATCCATGAGGATTTACTGCTATCCGGCACACCTGAAAATCATGCCAGAGATATCTCATGGCAAACTCTTAATTATGTCAGCACCCTGATCAGTGACTTAAAAAAAAAAAAAGTGTAGCAGCTGCTACACTTCAGCATACAGTCTACGATCTGGATACTCGTATTTTGCTTCTAACAGTATCTGCTGTGCAATCTGCAGCCACAGTTTGAAGGGAATCTATTCTGTCTTTGATTTTTCCTTTCTGAGCCATATATCCCACCAACACAGCTACAGTAAAGGAAATAAAAAGCACTGATGATCCACCTGTCATTCAGGATATAATAATGATAAATAGCAACGACGGAAAAGAACTCAAGATCACCCTGCTCCAAAACTTACATACTCAAATGGACAGAAAGTCTCAGAATCCTTTTGTATTCCTCCAGCTTTTAAAAGTCTTAGGCTAGTTCAAGCTTGCTTCAGTTCTGCCAATGACCAGGCAATTTCATTTTGTAGAATACAGTGAAATGCAGCCTGGTTAACAGGTGTTATATTTACATGCAAAATTAAAATTCAGCATTTAAAAGCTAAAAATTTCAACTGCATTTCTCTTACTTTCCAAATACACGCCCCATCTAACAAGAAAACACCATGTGTAAATACTTTGCCTGAGCATTAGCATAGCACGACTAAAAGACTACTATTATACTGGAGATAGCTTGCTGCCTTATCCAAATTCTATTTCAGCAAAACACCTGAGCACGCGCTCAGCTTTAAGTTTGTGCAGTTTTACTGATGCCAGCAGAATTGAACACATGCTTACTGTTTTATGAGCCTTGGAGCAATGGGTTTAATCTTGAACCTGTTTATAATACTAAAAAGAACACTGGAAAGAACTAACCTGTGCATTTGCTGCTGTATATGTTCTCCTGAAGCTGTGCTTTACCTTTACGTTTTCCTGGAGGCCCTGGGGGTCCAGGTGGTCCAGGGGGCCCTGGCGGTCCAGGTTCGCCTTTTGCACCTAGGTACAAAGCAGAGTACGATGTCACAGGCCCTGTAGGCAACAGGCAACCTGCAGAGAACAGTACGTGCCCGCATGATGGGCTTTGAGAGATCTCTAAAATAGCCTCTCTCTTCCTAAGAGGTTTCTGTGTACAGAAATATGGTGCAATAAACTCACTGGGATGTTGTTTGTTAGAAGATGAACCATAGAGAACTTCACAAGTTGTAGGACATCAATGCAATTTACCTGTCTGGACTACAGGCACATTAGAGAGTTATAAAGCACTGTTGCCTTTTACTTACTGTATTCTAAGACCTCAATTTCAGAGCCTACAGCGCTGTAATTTTACACAGCTTATATTTGTGGCTGCTTCATATATTCCTGAGTGGAAATCTGCCCCGCATTTTCTATTAGAAAAATAAAACTACACTGCAAGAAAGAGCAGGAGGAGGTCAGCTGTCTGGAAGTGTACTGAAAAGGGTGGAATTCATGTACGCCTCAACCCAAAGCCCAAGCAGAAAAGTTTTTTGTGAAGACTTGCATTAAAAAGAGAACATAATCTCCCGGGCAGAGCAATACTCAAACTTCACTGCGGATAACACGGTTCTGCTGGTTGGTCCTACTCTCGCAGATCACATTCATGCTTCAGAAGCAGAGTATATCTTTTTCTGTCAAGTACACTGTTGCGAGAGAGCTCCTAAGAGCACGTCTTCCTACCTTCTAATAGCACATCATTGTTTGCATCCCCCTTTTCACCCTTTGCTCCTCTTGCGCCTTTTCCTCCTGGCATACCATCCTTGCCAGGTAAACCCATTTCTCCAGGTTCTCCTTTCTGTCCTTGATCACCTTTTGGTCCTGGTACACCTAGAAATAAAAAGCATTTCAGTACCAAGAACACTGCTCCAGTATTAAGCATCAATCAATACATTTTTTTAATACAAAACGTATTCACTCTAGTTGTTTTTTTCACCTGTATTTAACTGGGCAGCTGTAATTTGTTCTGATTTCAAAACAACATTGTAACCTAATATGAAGGGAAATGGTGTACAATCCGTTTGGTGCAAATAATACATTCTTTACCTAGTGGTCTCTGAGTTTTGATCATGGAAGATACAGACCTGGGCCTCAACACTGCCTGGAGAATTTCTGGGTAAGTAGGAATATGAAAGAAAGATGTGAAGTAATATATTTATTTCACATTTGTAAGGCATTAAAGAAAGGCGTTTTCATGGTTCTTCTAGACTATTTCTTGAAGTAATTGCGCACTAACATTACAACACGCATTGCACTTTTAACATTTTCCACTGTCCCAACAGAGCACAGACACAGCACCTGGTAACATTTTCACATGGCTACTATAACCCTCCCTCTACACGTGTTAGAAGCATGATCAGTCCACGTACTTTTTGCGCTTGATCATGTATAAGGTGACATATTTAGCAAGATACTCCTTTGTCCTGTGTGATTTAGTTTTGCAGTAAGGAAAACAATGGTGTGCTTGTACAGCTGACACATCAAAACCTTGCACCCTCTACTTTTGTGGCAGTTAGTATTTCCTTGCTTTAGGAGAGATAACAGTTGTACAAATAGAAATGTCAGTGTTCTTGCAGGCATAGGTTTCAGATAAATTACATTTATTAATACTTGAGAAGAAAACACTTGGTTTTCTACTTACGGTTTTACTATTTAAATTGATTTTGTGAAATCAGAAGCAGAATTACAGTTTTGGGGTGAAATCTGAAATGTGTCTGGCACAATTGCCACCTGCCTCTCTGAAGACTGGTTCTCACTTTCATTTCCAATTTTAAAAACTTGTTGAGGACACTAAAGTGACAGACCGCGTAGTGTCTCAAGATACAGTAGACAGTTGTTCCACTGGTACCTGCCAGCAAGCCCACACGGCTAGGTGCAAAAGCCAGAATAATAAATGGGCCACTATAAATACCAACCTGCTAACATCAGCCTGCCTACTCACTGACATACCCTTCCTCTTCTCTACCCCCTCTCTATTCTACCGTTCTGATGCCCTTTTGTCTCCTTACCCTCCTACCACGCACAACCTGCTGCTTTCTCACTCTGCCTTGAAGGCACCAATTACCCATCAGTGCTTGCACACAGCTATTGTGCATCAGGTAAGTCAGTAGATAAACCAACTACTGCTTTACAACCTCACAGTGGTTTACAGGCTCTGAGCACAGCAACTGCCTACCTGCCACTTCAGCTACTGCGCAGCCATCTGTTGAATCTAGCATGCCACGTCTACTGCTGTTCTCTACGGTCAGCCTTTGCCCTGTCCCATTTCCACACGTGCTGGTGAGCTGGACAGCTGAGAGATGACAGCGCTTCTGCTGCTGGTTCTCTCTGTTCTTAGCAGAAACATGTCACGGTGCAATCAATAAGAGGCCAAATAGTTGCCTCCACCAGCATGGAAAATTGCTTGTGGGCTACACACAGCCTATGGGCTGTTTAGCAGAGCTGCTCTATCTGTAGCAGCTACGTTAAAATAGTGCCTAGAGACCCTACTGCATTACAAAGTTTATCCAAGACTAAAAAAAAAAAAAGTTGCTTTAAGAGTTTCCAGCCTAAATGGACAATATAGAAAAGAAGAAAAATATGGAAATGTACTGCTCCTGCCACAGTAGTTATGAATCTGGAATCAAAACTGTGGTAACACAACTTCCACCCCCAAACTCTGGCTTTCTTTTTTTAAGACATCCGAAGTCAAAGGGCCATTATGTTGGCAGGTTGAGGGAGTGGAAACATTCTTACAACAACAGTATTTACTAGCAAGTTCAGAATACTGAGATTCAATTAAATGCATTCAATAGCTTTAATTTGCAATATTCTATAGTGTACGTATACCATCTTCCTTGCTGTGGAGTAAGTCTGGAGTAATCTACCAAAGCTTAGTGTAAGACAATGAATGCTACAGAACTATGAAACATGCAACTGCTTTGTAAACACTGAAACCCTCCTCCCTGTACAAAGGTCTAAAAGTAACTACATCTGAATATAACAGTAAGAAAGGATTTCTTTTTTAAATGACCACAAAAAAAAAAAATTTACCTATTTTTCCTCTTTTTCCATTTATTCCTGGTTCTCCCTTTTGTCCTGGTGTACCTGGGACTCCATCTGATCCATTGTAGCCAGGCAGTCCATCAAGTCCTGGAGGCCCTGAACAAACCAAACAGCATAACTGAATTTTCACTGTTAAATACAATTTATCCTTAAATCTACTATATTTACATATAGGTTTTTTTTTTATATATATATATATATATTCCTCTGAGGAATTCAGGAAAAAAAAAAAAAAAAAACGAAAAACAAAGACAAACAAAAAAACCCACCCCAAACCAAACCAAACAATACAAACAAAACACACCCACCCACAACAAACAAACAAAAAACCAGGAAACGAAACTTAAAGGTGTTTGTTTGCCCTGGCCTTAGCGTAAGAAAACTGACTGAAACGAATACTGTGCACATTTCGTGTTAAGGCCAGCACAGATCAGCCTTTTGGATTCCACTTCAAGGACAAACACAGCGGAACCCATCCTATTTCTGAATTTGACGGTGACTAGAACATCTTCCACAACCACATAAGCTTTAACGTTGCTTGTGATATTGGCCAGACTAATCTAAGACAAGAAAAGCATTTACCTACTTGTCCAGAATACTGCACTGCCAAACCATGATCGGTTGGTACAGAAGACATCACTCCCTCTTGGCCGCTATTTGAACCCCCAGAAACAAAAAAATACCTGATACTTTTCTGATACAGAGAATTAATCTAAGCAGACCCACAGCTAAAGAAGCACAGAAAGAAACCAAGTTACCCTTCATATAGCCTGGCAACCACATCAGCAAGAGCAGAAAGAGAGATTAAACAAGAAAGGAGGAAAAGTTACAGGAGAGGTGGGAGGGTGGAATCAGTAACCAACATCTTTTAAAGAGATGTTTTTAGTGTTACATTATAATATTGGTTTACTCGGGGCGGGGGGTTTTTTGGGGCTATATATACACTCATCTCTTCAGCTAAATGCTACTTAAACACTCTTAATTCCAACTGTTTTTTATCAAACATGTTTTAGCAAATGTGAAACTATTCTGTCCCCTCCACCAGCAAAGCATAATGTCCAAAACCTCCCCCCTCTCTGAATGGGCACCAGCTGACCTAAATACAAAAATCATAAAGGCAGGCAGTCACTCGACCTCCCTCATTTCTAATTAGCAAAAGGACGACTATTCTATAAAGATACATTTCTACATTTCAACATTTTGTACCAGCAACTGTTTCAATGACCCAAAAAACATTACTGCAATTGTCCAAATGTCTTACCTGGGGGACCCGGGGGGCCTACAAGAAGAACAAGCAAAAGAACACAAGAAAGAAGAAATGGTGAGTTTCACCTAGCAAGAAAACGAAAAGCAATTCCAAATTGAATTGATTAGCATTAGACCAGAACAGTAAAAGGGGAGGAAAGCCCCTCAAATTTCAAAATGAACACTTATGGATTTAACTGCTTTGTATCATAAATAACTATTTGAGCATTAGCAGAAACTCAGGCGTACTGAAAGAGTACCCTTAAAAGCAGTTACATATACGCATACGTTTTGCTTTTTGTCAAACCTTTATCAACTGAAATTTGCAAACAACCACCTCTCCAGCGTAATCTCACCGCCAGGGGCTTAGGTGCCTTTACAATGCCGTGGATGCAAGGCATCTAACAATCATTACATTTCCTTCACATAAGTCTTCTCCAAGATCCCGTTACAGTAGAAGAAGAATAGCTTTACGATACTGATGAATGTCACAATTAAAAATCCTGTTGAAAACACACATTAAAACCACACGCTACCCTTCTCTCTGTTTTACAGATATTTCATTGCAGTTCAGGATTCAGACTATTTAAATGGGGGGGGGGAAGCCTTGTCATTCCCATTAACCGCATCTAAATCACAATCAGGCTTTCCACGTGTAGTTGTTCTCCAGACGGGACCAAGCTCCCCACAGAACCTGGCTGGTGTATTAGAAATCGGACTTGCTTCAGTTATGCCGCAACATGCCATGCAATGAACTCGGTCTCGCGCTCTCTGACTTAGTTCAAGTACAGGGCCTCAATGAGAAGAAAGCATAGCAGGCAAGAGCAAAGCAGGAGTAAACCAGAAAAAGTTTCTGTAACAAGATTTATCTTATGTGATCCCCAATACGCATCGCGGGGGGGAAACAACCCCAAAAACCATAAAAAACAAACCGGAAAAGCAGGCTAGGAGAATACAAAGAAAGGTGGTAGTTGCAATTAAAGAACTGAGTTAGTTCCGTGGACGTTTTTATCCAGCCAACAAAGTACTGTCTCGTTTCAACAAAACTCTCTACAACAGCAAATAACAGTAATTACGAGATTTCCCTAAAGATGTCAATTTTCAGCATTAATTAGAAAGCTTTATGAATAAAGTGAAAACCACTTTATAATACCATTACAGCAATTATCCCTTTTAATCAGTACAGGCAGTAACGTCAGTTAACGTCTTTCTGCCAATTTTCCAGTAAATGACCATTTTTCCCACACTGCAATGTTAGTCCATTAGTGCGTTCAATTACTTCCTCATCTCAAAAACTGAGGATCTTGATTATCCTTGTATAAGCATAAGAGAAATAAGAAAGGTGCTTGAAAAGTAGCAAACGTCACAGCGGCCTACAGCAGAGAAAGCCAGTAACAGAGGCAAAATTTAATAGTGTCAAGCGAGCAAAAAGCTGCAGAAGGCACCAAGTAGCATGAATTCAGAAGTCTGGAGCCCGAGGAAACAAACTTTTGGGTCGTCTGTCGTTCAGCCTCAGTTGCAATTGGAACTGATCTACAATTTCAGAAGCAGTATTTAACATCTGTGTGTACTACAGTAATTCTCATTTATGTTGAAATCAATTGAGCCAAATGGACCTCACAGCCATTTGAAAATACAAACCAGACAGCAAGTGAAGCATTTTCTCAAACTCATAAAAAGTAGCTTATTTCTAATCTTCTCGTTTCCAAAAAGAACGCGTGACTCAGTCTGTTATAGACTTCAAAGCTGGACTGTAGCCCTTAAATTGGCTACGACCTGACAGTCTCTTCATCAATCACACAGAAACTTCTCACACCTTCTCTTGCCCCGGCCATCGGCTGTTCCGACTCCTCACTGGTAACACGTGAAACCCAACGTCCTGTTCCCGTGGCCCGAGGCAGGGGAGGCAAACACGTTGCTCATCTAAGTCCCACTACTCCACAGCAGCTACATCGACAGAAGCAAGTCTCTACACCCTGTACGTTCATCCCACGTTAGCCTTGAAGTGTGGGGACATACACAAAAATACCAAGACTAAACCTCAACTAGTGTTTTAAACACCCAAGTCTGTAAGATTTGATTATGAAAATTACAGGGGAAAGGAATAGCTCCAAGCAACATCAACTGAGCTCCTTAACTTCCACCGTTTATAGTAAGTAGGTATAGATAAGTCCCAAAGTAGCACCTAGTATTTTTTTTTTTAAATAAATAAATAAATAACCCAATTGGTATGTAAATTCTGATAGAGTAAATAGCATAGTTCTTTGACACAGTCATTGACCTCGAGTTCTTTGAACACACTGTAATTCTGTATTCCTGAAGGTAACATAAGGCATAACGCTTAGGCAACGAACATACCTGTTAAGCATATCCCTTTTGTGCTGTTACATAAATCCACCATCACTCGGACCTAATATTGGAAAGAAAGAAAAGTTGAAAACAATGCATGCCACAAAAGTACCTAGTTTGCTTTGCCTACAGAAATAATTCCAAAAACAAAGATAGAACTGTCCACTCCGTGCTTACAAGAATAAACTCTTTAGAACCACCTTAACATTGTGCCACCATCCATCTCTTCAGGCAGCGAGTCCCTCATAAGAATCTGTTCAAGACACCTCATTTTAAACCTCACTGAAAATACAAAGAAAATACTGGGCAGACAACTCCATACATCATCTAGGCGTTAAAGTTCACACATTACTGTAAAACATGTGTGGTTGTCCATGCATTGATTCTATCGGTGGAAGGTATTAAAAGCCAACATCCGCCAACAAAAATTACATTCAATTTTATTTTATATTTGTATCAAATGACGGATACTTTTCCCACATAGCATATCCACTGAGAAAGATGACCTGTGTTCCAAGTAAGCGATTTCTTATCTGGGAATAACCAAGATCTGCAAATTTGGAATGGTCCTTCGTCCATTCAAAATACTTCATCCCAACAACGACAGACTTTATAAAAAGCAAGCTGGACGAGACACTCATACAGATGCTTTTAATCTAGAGTAGACTAAAATTCATCAGTTAAAAAGTCACCTTTACAAAACACACGGGTTTTGGCTGGGCAAACATTCACGTTACATGTCCTGCATGCTGAGAGTCAACACTCTAAAATGTTTTGCAACTCATCAAAACATCCAGCAGAAATAAGAATATTATGAACATGAGCACTGGGAGTGCCTCAGCTCTTTATGGGAAAGTCTAACGTTTATAGTCAGAAAAGAAAAAGATTATTATTTCAGGGCTGTGCAATATATGATAATTTATGAACGGATTTACCCAGAGTTGCACACGTATTCATCTTTGTACAATTACCCTATTTACAAATAATGGAATGCACTAGTCCCAAAAGACAGAACAAACAAGTGCAAGTCAGTCGGAAAGGCAGACCGATGTTTAATGCTAGCAAGGTTATTTGCTGCTGTCAATCTTTATTTTTAAAATTAATGCATCGTTAGCTTCAAGTGACAAATCTAACAGACCTAAATAAAGGACAATTATTTTGACGGTTAGTATTCTTTTGCTGCAAAATCAAACTATATTTGACTATGGATTTCAATTCTGTCAGATACATATTGGGAATTTACTGGATTCCAGACTGTACTGGAACAGCTCTTAAATTTAGAAGTTTTAGGCTCGCTTTAATTTAGCTGAGAAGAGCTAACTGCGTTTCAATATCAGAATTTGCTTGTTCTCTTTCCCCTCACACCCCTCAAAAGCACTCCGCTTCCACCCTGTAATTTGGAAAATACACGTTGTCCATGTGTGCTCTAATCCAAACGGCTTTTTAAGCTAAATGGTTTTGTTGAGGTTGCTGAAGCGACTACAGCTTGCCTTGGGGGCCCCTCCAATTATCTCACCAGCATTATTTTTACCAATCAGTGCAATTCAGATGACAATCAAAAAACATGGCACTCAAGAAGTGAGTGGGTTATAGCAAATAGCCTACAACAGAACCTCCAGCTTAACTACGGAAGATGGTACACCAGCCATCCCATCAGCCAGCATCACCTTTGCCATGAAGAAAAGCTGCTGATAAAAGTACGTTATTTAAATACTAAAAGCTTAGTTTTCTCATGAAGGAAGGGTGGAAAAAAAAAACTCTCCCTAACTAGTATTTATTTTTGCAGAAAAAAAATGATGGCATTAGCTGAACTTCACTAATTTTCTTTACCTATTAAACAAATTTCAGGTTTAAATGTGAGAGAAATGTGAGAGGATCTTAGCTATACTCTTGACGTCAGATGGAAACTAAGATGAATTGGAAACTAAATGGATCAAATCTGAATTTGATCAGTAAACTAAATCTTGGCATTGTAAGATATGTAATAAAATGCATTCTGTTGGTCTTGTACGTATATAATCTTCACAGAGTTTCTCTCCAGAAAGAAAAATAAAATAAAAAAAAATGCAAAGAAAAAGCATATCAGAAACCAATTGTAAAGCAGTCGGTGCAGACAACCTAAACCATGAAGCAACTACACAGATAATTAGATATCTGTAAGCCATCACTTCTTGCACTGTTTTAAATCTCACTTTCAAACTTACTGCTCACAAAATTATCGGACTGTTACCCTCTCATCAGCCTTTCTACAGCAGCAGACTTGCCAATTTCCCATTTCTATTCTCTTACAAAATAAATATATATATTTATATATACACATAAATAAACAAGAGGCACAGACCCAAAAACAGACTCACGCTATTAAAGCTAAAATACAATTTTTGATGCCTAAAGTTATTTCAAAGGTTCTCGAACGGTGACCGCAACCGATCTCCCCCGACCTGCAGCTGTGTGGAGCAGCAGGATATCGACACCCGTAGCACCGATCTGCAGAAATCCGCGCCTCCACTGCGAGAGAGACCCCGCTCAGGCAAAACCGCCGTTCAGGGCCCACATTCAGCAGGGGCTGGAGCATCCTTCCCAGGCCCACCAATGCGGTAGGGATCACCTCGCCAACTGCGCGGAACTCTCTCTCGTGCTGCAAGAGCGTTCAGGTCTTCACACCACGTTAGAGGGAGTTAGACGCAAAGTACAAAAATGAAGGGGTGGGAGGGGGGGTGCTTGAAAATTTTTCTAAGGACTTTTCTCCCCTTGAGCAAGTGGGTCTGCACACAGTTACACGCTCTTCTGAGCAGCAGCCAGAACGAAAAACATTTGATGGAAATTTTGGAAGAACAAAAAGGCACAACATCCCCCCCCCGCCCCCGGCACCTCCCTGCAGGATACACACATTTCAGTGAAGCACATCGCACGCAGCAGTAGTCACAGCGGTGATTTAAATGGAGGAGCTGCACAAGTGAGCAGCCTCGCCACACGCTGTTAAAACGCACACCGTGTCACTCGGTGCTATTTGGAGAGGGCAATAAAATTCATTTAATCCATACGTGCTACCTAATGACAGCGGAATAGCACATATAACTGCCACTGTCAAAATTATCTAGACAGCCGACTGCCGCTAACGATTTAAGTCTGAACACCTAACAGTAAACGGCATCAACAGCGTTCAGGCCCCCTCAGGATCTGAATCTTTTCTCCAATAATTTTATTTGTGGATCCCTCAGACTCAAAGACGCAATTCATATTGGCTGGAAGAAAAAGAGCTGTAGCTGCCAAACACAAAGATGATGACTTAAAAGAAACAGGAAAAAGTTTTGACTAAGTGTTTTGATGAAAAGCTCAGACACAGCACACGCAAATATTTCACTGGGGCAGCAAGTTTTTTTAACGTTACCTGATCCAAAAAAATCTAAAGAAAACGTACTGGGTTTTTCCAAGGTTTTTTTGGTATATGCTTCTAGAAAGTCATTTAAGTTTTCAAATTTGAAATAACCCTGCTCAGTAACAGTAGCTTGAGAATTAGAGTTCTCATGTGAGACCACAGACCACTTTGAGTACAAAACCACGTGATTTTCAGGAAATTAAAACGCTCCGGTAAGATGCACAGGGTCCAGTGAAAAACGTTGCTACTCTGTAAACAGAACAGTAGCTTGAGAATTAGAGTTCAAAAAAATAATGATTTCCACTTTGACGGTAAGAGGCACAGGGTCCAGTGAAAAACGTTGCTACTCTGGTAAACAGAATCGGAAACTAGAACCGAATATCCAATCTCTTTCGGTTTTGTCTCTCAATAAAAAAAGACGTTCTTTGAATCACAGAAGTCTTGTACTGCAAATCCTAAAGTCAAAGCACAAGATTTAAATATCCTTAGCCAAAAAAAATAATTATTTATTCTAAAACCCCAAACAATTGCATTATCAAAACTCTACGCTACGAACACCTATGGCTCTACAGTCTCATTAGCTCTAATATTAATAGAGATGTGATCGCTGTAAAATCATCATTGCAACGGTTTATTAATAAAAACGCCAGCAGAACGTTACCAAAAAGGTACTTTCTATAGGTGATTTTTTAAACCAGCAATGTTTGTTACATCACGAGTTAGCCTTGCCTGCTCTCCTGTGGCCTAGGCCCGCAGTCCTGACTGGGCCAGGATTTCCGCTAAGGTTCCCTCGGTAGCGGTATTTTTCTTGCGCTTCTTCTGACTCAGAACTTAAAAGTTTTTCAAGCTATTCAAAGTTTTTCAACTGCATGACCTGCATAATTTTTCAACCACGCGACCCAGTTCCTACCGAGCACGGCTCATCTCTTCGCTGAAGTGCAAAAACCCAGGCGGTTTTGCATTTTAGGACGTACAGCTCTCCTCCGCTGACCCATCGAGCACGACCTCAAACGTACGACTTACTGAGAGGGCACGACCAAGTTCCAAGAAACGCGATGGTGAAGCAACATCCAGCACCCACCTTGGGATGCTGAACAGCAGAGAACACGGGGGGGGGTGTCCGTTAGCGGTGCAGAGATTCAAACATCTGAACGATTAGAAAGCGGACTTTTTATCGCAACTAAACTTCTGAAGTTCCGTTAAACCCACGCCGCCCTCAGGCACCCACGGAACTATCCTTCTGAGAGTTTAATGGCGTAAGCCGTACGGCCCACCGACTCTCAAGACCTCGGCGCCTACGGGTGACAGGAGGCAGCTCCCCCTTCCCAGGCGCTACCGCCCCCCGAA